CGAAGCGAGTCATCTAGAGGATCATTTTTCACCTTACTCGTGATATCGAGATGGTTCCATCTCTATGTTTCAAGTTGAATGCGTACTAATTTATTTTGGATTTTTGTCATTTTTCTTTAACTACTAATGCTGGTTGAAAAAAATGAAAAAAAGTACAAGTTTAATGTTGTGAAATGCATATGCAGAGTGGGGATGCATCGGATTTTTTTTTTATTTTTTGCTTAAGAGTTGTGATACCTTTTTTTTATCATTGTAGTTGGAGGTTGTTTTTTTTTTTTTTTTAATGGCTTAGGAGTTAATGTTTCGTCTGATTAATCATGAGGAGTGGCTGCCTTCCCTTTGGTTCACCGTTGAGATAAATTCGAATGTAATCACAGTTTATACACACTTAATCTCACTTTACGATGTGCAGCTTATACACACATGACATCATTTTACGACGTGCAAACAATAGCCCTCAAAAGGACAACTAAACGTACCATAACTTTGTCTCAACGGGATATTTGCCTTTTCAACATAATTGTTGCCTTCTAGCTGCAGTGAAGATTTGAACATCCGATAATCCATAATGAACCTTCCTACCTTACCACTGCATAATGCCCGAGGGGCTTGTTGGAGCTGTTTTTATTGGGTCTATGCAGTTCTTAATATGTAAATTATGTGGAATTTTTAGGTCCACAAGTAATATCATTATAATAATTGATAATTACATTCATCTCCAACCAATTTGAAACCTCTGATTTTGTGCTCTTCATTGTCTCGACAAAATGCTCCTATTTGTCGTCAGTAAACGTATGGAACATTCAATTTCAAGCCTTACAAACGATTCCCAAATCCCCCAATTATCACCCAGCACTTACCTCTCAATCATTCCAATCTAGCCAAGACAAATAAATCTCACCTTAATCATCTAAAGTTGCACGAGAGTATGAGTCCCTCCGCTCAAAACGACAATAACTCGCTCATCATTGATAAAGCTTTCCGCTTAAAGCATTGGGTAATGGATCATACTGTAGTGAAAATCACCATCAAAGTGCAGAAAAAATTCGAAATGAGATCGGAATGGTGGCATATCAACTACAAAACAGAAGCAGCACAAGCACAATCAGAACAAAGTATATTTCCCAGTGCAGGGACTATAAAATCAATTTCGGTGTGTTTGGACGTAAGAATTGAATTTAATGGTATTAGTATAATAAATCTTTATCATTAAGATTAATTGAGATTTTCAAATCTTATCATTGAGATTTGTAATTATTATACACTCTCGAGTTTGTTATTCAAAACTACTATGTTGTTTTCACATTCGATCAATCAAATTTTACGCAACGTTTCAAGTTTTAGCATAACTTAGAGTCCGTCGACAAGGCTTTTGATAGGTAAAAAAATTGTTATATCTGGTTTTTAATATGTTTGGATAAATTTTTAAAAGTGCTCTTGAACATATTTAGATAATTTTCTCATAAACCTATTCTATAAAAGCTAAAGTAAAAGTACAAACAAACACATAACCTCATAAATTGGCGTGGCATTAGTTATTTATATGTTTGTTTTTGAAAAATTTCATAATTACAATAGTTTAAAAATTCAATTTCAAAAATAAAAAACTTGTAAAATAAAAAATAAAATAATAAAAAAATTCAAGTAGTATGTGATTGTTCCTATTTTGATAGATGGTTGTAACCTGTCAATTGTGTAATTATGACTCAGTATTAGGTTTGGTTGTGGTGTAATTAATTATGTGATCTGATAGTTTATTTAAGTGTAGATTGTGACAGTTTATTTTTCCTTAACCTTTATGCCTCATAATTTACTAGCATGTTAAATATATACGAGCTTGTGTGACTGTAACTAGTTGACGTGGAATGCTATGAAAGAATTATAGAAGGGAAAGGGGGAGAGAATAAGAGAAAGGAGGGGGAAAATAGAGGAGGAGGAGGAGAGGAAGAGAGAAATTGAGGTAGAGTATCAATATTTATTCATTATTAAATGTTGTTGAATTACGTCGCACCAGCCTCTTTGATAGAGAATTTGAACTATCTCTAATCGAAGCAGGAAAATAACATAAAATCAAATCATAATTATGTTTTCTAAATTAAATATCAAAATTAGAAACTAAATAATATAATATCTATATATTATTGCATCACTAATCTTGTTATCTAATTGGACTTAGCTCCTATTTGGAGTAACTAAAAATAAAAAAATTTAGTAGATTTTATTAAAAAAATATGTTATTGAAAAATTGTGTATGAAATATATAATTAAAATTAATTGTTAATTTTAATTAAAAAATTAATCGAAAATTTTAGCCATATCGAATAGAGGCCTAAGCATATACAGTCACATGACTTGACCACCTAATTTTTGGATGGAAAAAGTTAATGTCCGATTAATGAAATTAAAATTTCAAAAACATAGTTTAGGTAATTTTTCTTTTTTCATTTTATCTTTATCATAGTTTAGGCAATTTTTCCTTTTTATATTCATCTTTATCAATAAATTTGTCATCTAAGTATTAATTTCTAAAACAATGTTTAAAGAGAAGTACTCAAAACCTATTATTTTCTACTTAGTTTAACTATAATTTTATCCTTTAACCTAATAAAATCTTAGGCTTTTAATTCCCAACGAAGGAAAATATATAATCCTTATTTGATTTATATTTCTTAAAATTCATTCTCTTTTCAAAATATACATTTTCATCAATTTTATTAAAATTTATTAAAATCTTAATTTTAGCCAAATCAAACAATAACAGTATATGAAATGAAAAGTGGAGGAAATAGATTCGACCGCAACGTGGAAAGTTCAAATTGTGCGGTCAAAACCTTGAATTTGACTTTTAATTCTGCCACGACTTTTGCCTACGATTTAGAAGAATTTATAAACCGATTAATTATAATAAATACACTAAAGAATTTTAGATAAATTGAAAGTAACGAAGATTTCATTGAAAATTTCCGTTTGGCAAAATTTAGAAATTAACCCTCGTTTGATTCTCATTATTTTCAAAATATATTTTTTCTCTCCTCATTTCAATTACACATTTTTAATAAAATAATACTACATTCAAACCCAAAAGTAACTGATAGATAAATTGATAGTACCAAAGATTTCATTGAAAATTTCTATTTGGCAAAATCTAAAAATCAGCCTTTTTTCGATCACCATTATTTTCAAAAAATATTTTTTACTCTTATTTTTAACTACAGATTTTTCAATAAAATAATATTACACCAAAATTCAAAAAAATTTCCTCATTTTTTAAATGAAATATGCTACATAGATGGGGGCTATGACAGGCCCTTGTGAAGTACACCTCAGCCCTTGATCTGAAATTCCTGTTTGAGTAGCAAAAATATTTTTAACAACACATTCTCCATCAGTACTACTCTAAAATGCATTCTTAAGAAACAATGGGGCTCAAATAGGTGCTTAATGATCAAATTTTGTTTCTGCCTACACATTCTAATGGATCTACTACTATTTATTTATTCACTACTCATTTATATATTAAATAAAACCGCTTCTAAGTTATTTGCAAAATTCTCCCTTAATAAACTCCTGCTTAACATATTCCTTCACAAGGTCCTTTTCACCCGGAGCAATAATACGCCCGCCAACGACTTTAAAGCGACAACGTTGTTGACCAAGTGTGGTTAGCTGGTTAGAATACAAACAACCCATGACTCGTGTATCAAAAAATAAAAGCAGTGGAATCGATTTGAACCGATCCAGGTTTTGATCTCAAGACCTATTTTTAATTAATCTTAAATAACAATAAAATTAAAAAACTTATCTAGTGGTACATAATGAGGTGTACCGAATGGTGTACACCCCACTCACATGGACGTGGAACAAACAAACCTGTAATGAGCTCCGTAATTTTCTAGAAGATCAAATTGAGTAGCCTGAAGTTGAACCTTGAAATTTAAATATTTCTCATTATATAATTCCCGTAGTCCAGTCTTTAGTTAGTGATAACTTTTTCTTTTAATTAATTGTTTAGATGATTCTGGAAGGTGAATACATACGCGTTCAAAATTAGTTAAAAGCCTGTTTGAGAGTGATTTTTTCTTTAAAAAATTGACTTTTTGATCGTTATTTCACTATTTCAATCATCATATTTGATTTATTCTCTAACATACGGATCCCACTTTTCTCCTAATAATTAAAAAATTAATTTTCAAAATCAAATCCAAACATGCTCTAAAGGAAAAACTGTAAAACCAACAAATTAGCATTGCGACAAATCAAATCCGATCTGGCAAGACGACCGAAGCCATTATCGTGGCAAAAGTACCGTCATCAGATCTGACGGCAGATCCTCCACCACGTATATGTCTCCCATTCCTATTGTCCCTCAGCCAATCCCAGTAGACCATATGCTTCTATGTATATATCCATTCACATTATTACCTAACCAATACTGGAAAAAAGGCTCTTATTGCGGTCTGTATTATCTTTATTCTTTACACAGGCGTCCGATTGGTGAATTGATTCAATGGCAGAGAAGTCGTTCAAGTATGTGATCGTTGGTGGTGGCGTCGCTGCCGTGAGTATTTTCTTCCCCAATACGTTTTTCTAGCTTTAAATTTTGAATCGCGACTTTTCTAAGTATTAGTTTTTGGATTAAGTACTGTACTGTATTGTGTTTTGATTAGATTAATATTATGAAATCGCATCGTATGTTTTTGCTTTTGAAGTTTAAACATAAATAAAGAAGAAATGTTATCTGGAGACCGGGGGTTACCATTAACTTGTTCTATTCCTATAATAAACTAGATCTCCCTTTTTTTGGCTATCTTTTATCTTCTCTTTTGGATTAACCGATCGATTAGATTTTAGCAGTCATGAGTACTAGTTTTCCTGATAAGTAATATGTGTTCGCCAATAGATTTAAGTCTTTAACTGAATTAAGAAACCGTCTTTATTAAGGGATTAAATCCACATCAGATAATTTCCGAAGTATAGACCAATGTATAAGAGCTTAGGATACTCCTCTTAAGGGAACTCTAAGTCTTAATAGCCTGAAACTGGATTTTCTTGTTTATTACTGTAACTTTCATCCATTGATTTTTAGTCATAATTTTAACAATTTTTTGTTTGTAATATAAAGGTTATGTTCATCTACTCTAGATAAAAAGAAAACAGATTGAACAACCATTTTCTGGCATAAATTGCATGATAATATTTTGGCAGAAAAACGATTACAATCTGAGAATCACCCTTTTAGTAGATGTGGTGCATAGATTAACAGTTGCATTTCACATTAAAAGTAAGCTGGATGTGCTTAAAAAGTTACTATTCTAGAAAGTAAGTGAAGAAATACTTACTGGAATTTTGTGATTTTAAAAAAATGTTACTTTTAAAATCATACTTTTTGAGCACAACCAAACATGCGCTAATTTGTGTTCTCCCAGAAATAACTTGAGGACAGAAATTGTGAAGCCAAAAGAATTGCTGCTACGTTGTGCTTTAGTCTTGTCATAATGGTTTCTGAATCAAATTTGGATTGTGCTTGCAGGGATATGCCGCCAGGGAATTTGCCAAGCAGGGAGTTAAGCCAGGTGAACTGGCCGTCATTTCCAAAGAGGCGGTATGCTCTTAAGTGCTTCAGAATGAATTTTCTCCATTTAAAATTAAAAATAAATTCACAGCTAAGCTTCCTCTTGCCTATGAACATGAAAAAACTTCCCTAAATATGTTTTCAAATGTTGGATGGTAAAAATCTTTGTGAAATTCATGGGAAGTGGTATACTAGGCGCTTATTTGGTTGTTCTGATTACAAAATCAAGAGAATGGAAAGCCATTTTATCTAATAAGGGCAGTGGTTCTCTGTCCTACATTTGATATTCTGCAAATTAAATTTGATTATTTGAACTTTCTAAATACTCTAGCATTTTCGATTACAATGATTACGTGTCGTACTTAAATGGATTAGATAAGGAATAAGAATATATGCCAACATGTGGAGTTGAAACCGATGGAAGGTAAATTATGGGAAGTATGATTTAATTTCCTGGGGAATGTACTGCATAGAATTTTGGAAGAAAAATCCTCATTTGTACGGTTGACATGTACTCATAACATGCAATCGTGTATGGAATTGAGTGATGAAAAATGATTTGTGGAGCTCACCCTAAATTTAGTGTGTATTGAGCATATTTTGGTCACGCGATTTGTAATTTTTATCCGATGATGCTTGGCAACAAGAAAGAACGTGTAAATTATGTCTACATACTGACTTAAGGGAATTTATTTATAAATTCAGCTTTACCAGCTTGTATTTCCTGTCAAGAACCATTTGTGTGAGCATAAATAGAGAATCCTTGAAAAAAAAATTTATTTTTATTTTTTAATTTTTTTTTTAAGGATAATCCTTGAACTTTCATCAACGATTAAAATAATTGGGCTGAATAAGTCAATATGCATGCCTTATTTTTTTGCATAATATAGTATCCCTATTTTTTCCTGGAATTAAAATGCCTCAGTTTAACAGTATGAACCTTAGTATATACGTGTTATGATGGTTTCAGGTGGCTCCTTATGAACGTCCAGCACTTAGCAAGGCATACTTGTTTCCCGAGGGTGAGTTGTTTACTTTCAGTTTAGTAATGTTTATGCATGGAAACGAATGCTTCTGTAATGTTATGAGCAAAATGAACCATCTCTGTAAGGGCCTTCATAAGGGCATGGTATCCCATGTTCTCATTTTAAGATTCGAGATTGTATTGTGTTTATATTTGAGGCACAAATATAAACTGTTATCTGTTATGAAAGGTATCTCCAATTAAATTCTACTGGTATATTAAAAATTGTATTCAATAAGTTGATTTTCTGTTATTGTCACATTGGAAGGCCTTCAATTATATGGCCATTTGTTGTTTGTATCTGTCAGTAATTGTCAGGTTTCCACTTGTTCCTTTTCAAGTTTCTTCAATTGTTCAAGTATCTCTAATGGAAACCTGGTTTTATTTTTATTTTTTTTTACAGGAACTGCTAGACTTCCAGGTTTCCATGTGTGCGTTGGAAGTGGAGGAGAGCGGCTCCTTCCTGAGTGGTACGCAGAGAAAGGTAGAACTCTCATTGTCATCATGTATCTGCAATATAAGCATTAAAATTTTAGAAAACCTTTTTGAATACATGCCTCACGAGTTTCATTCCTAATTTTTGATCTTCTGATTGAATATTATTTCGAATGAAAAATTCATGACGTGAGCTCACTTTGATGATTTCCAGGGATTTCTTTGATACTTAGCACGGAAATAGTCAAAGCAGATCTTTCTTCAAAGACACTTGCCAGTGCAGCGGGCGAAACATTTAAATACCAGATTCTGATCATAGCAACTGGTTCTACTGTAAGTGTGTTATTCTGGGTATCATATCGCCTTCATATCATTTGATCTTGTTTCAGGTACTTGAAAACAGTATGTGATTGTGTATCACTTTTGGCAGGTTATCAAATTGTCTGATTTTGGAGTACAAGGGGCTGATGCCAAAAACATCTTTTATTTGAGAGAAATTGATGATGCTGATAAACTTGTAGAAGCAATCAAGGCAAAGAAAAACGGAAAGGCTGTTGTGGTTGGTGGAGGATACATTGGTCTTGAGCTCAGTGCAGCCCTGAGAGTCAATAACATTGATGCGACTATGGTTTACCCTGAACCTTGGTGCAGTAAGTTAAAAATTGTATTACATTTTTCATTTCTAGGTTGTTCCAAACCTTTGAATTTATGATTTATGTGAAGGCGACCAAATGATGTAGTGTAAGCTATCATGGATCCAACATGCTTTGTGCAACTTTGAGTTTTCTGACCTACCCATAACTTCTCTTACATGTATGCGTTTGCAGTGCCTAGGCTTTTCACAGCTGGCATAGCTGCCTTCTATGAAGGTTATTATGCAAATAAGGGAGTCAAAATCATCAAAGGGACTGTAGCTGTTGGGTTTGGCACTAATGAAAATGGAGAAGTGTGTTCTCAAGCAGATGAAAAATCTCTATAGTTAATTCTTCATGAAATTCATAGTCAGGACATGAGGTAACTTGTTGCACCTTTCAGGTTACGGATGTAAAACTTAAGGATGGGAGGGTGCTGGAAGCAGACATCGTGGTTGTTGGTGTAGGGGGAAAGCCTCTTGCAACCCTATTTAAAGGTCAGGTTGAAGAGGAAAAAGGTGGAATCAAGGTTTGTGGCTTCACTTTTTAATCATTTCCCTAGAAACTTGGTTCTCTTGTCAATGTTATGGTCAGTTACATGCTTGCTGATTTTTTCCCTTTGTGATTGATGTTTCAATGAGGTTGTGAATGTGTCAACAGGATATACCCAAAAAGAGTATAAAACTATACTTTTCTTGTCAACATACTGATACTTGGGAGCTCATCCTTATTTGTCCTGTGCGGGTGGACCTCAACTTTGAATTATCTTTAGAACTTTGACCAAGAATTCTAAATGAAACAGCACCACTTTTCCTTTTTAAATGTTATTTAAGATTGGAGACAAACACATGTTGCTTAGATAACTTATTCTTTCTCTATGCATAGTATTGAGAAATATAGAGAAGCAGAACTCCAAATAATAGGATATGATGAAATTAAAGGGTGCCAACCTTTTAGGTTAAAGCCGTCTTGCTAACAGTTCTGTGGTGGGTCATATTATGAAATTATGGTGGGAATTTGAATATAACGCTAAGGCCTTTCACTTGCAGACTGATGCTTTCTTCAAAACAAGCGTTCCTGATGTATATGCTGTAGGCGATGTTGCCACTTTCCCTTTGAAATTGTATGGTGAGCTGAGAAGAGTAGAACATGTTGATCATGCTCGCAAATCTGCAGAACAGGCTGTCAAGGTAGGTGATGTCTTCATATGCATAGTTCCATTTGCGTTAACTTGCATGCAATCAGTCTGCTGCTCATATGGGTGCATCTCCAAAGGTTAATAGATAACCTAGCTTATAATTTGGTTTGAAAATTTGACCATGGATGTATGATGCTTAAATATTCAAATTGGACCTCAAAAGATGGCAAAAATAAGATGTAGAAGTTTGATAGGTGTTATGTGTATGTGACTGTCCAAAGTTTGGAATAGTCTCACCTCGTCTGTAGTGAAACTGAAAACTAGATGGGTTTTTCGTGCAGGCAATCTTTGCAAGTGAACAAGGAAAGTCAGTTGATGAATATGACTACCTTCCGTTCTTCTATTCCCGTGCCTTCGATCTGTCATGGCAGTTCTATGGCGACAATGTAGGCGAGACTGTCCTCTTTGGGGACAGCAGCCCTACATCTACAACCCACAAATTCGGATCATACTGGATCAAAGACGGGAAGGTTGTGGGTGCATTTTTGGAAAGTGGTACTCCAGAAGAAAACAAGGCAATTGCAAAAGTTGCTAGGGTTCAGCCCCTCGCACAGAACTTGGATCAACTAGCTACAGAAGGTCTCAATTTTGCCTCTAAAATTTAAGTATCTTTTTTGAATAGTAAAAGGTCAGTCCACTGGAGGTCGAACATTCTGGAATTGGTTTTCAGTATTTACCCTGAACTTATGTCCGGGTAAAATTAATGAATTTTTTGGTGGACTGTAGACTGTGTGTGTGTGTGTGAATTTCATGTTTTATTTACCTTAACTGGGAGGATGTCTGCAAACTATCTTGTGCCAGGACAAGACCTGTTATGTTTCTTGGGAAATAAAGTTATACTTTTAGATGATTTCTATATAGTTTGTCGCGAGGAGTCTAATGGTTTGATATTGAGCTTCTGGGTTTTTTTCCCCTCTATGTAGTCTGTTTGTCTATTTACAAAATAAATAGAGCACTTAAACATCAAAGTGCGGCCAGATGGTCTGTTCCCATTTTGTAGCACGGATAAGCAGATTGAGCACTTAAGCATCAAATTGTGGTCAGACGGTCTGATCCCATTTTGTAGCACTAACGAGAAGTTTTTGCATTTAAGCGTCATAGTGTGGTCAGATGGTCTGGTCCTGTTCCCACTTTGTAGCACGGACGAGAAGATTTTGCACTTAAGCATCACAGTGTAGTCAGGCGGTCTGTTCCCAGTTTGTAGCACGGTCGAGCAGATTCTTTGAGTTCTTTTCTGCAGATCAGTAAGCAGATGACTTTTGTCATTTTACAAAATGAATCAATGACTTGGGTGTATTAAACTCGATTCTCTTGGTCGTGGTCTGGTTGTGGTTGCTTGACTGCTAGAAAAGCTTTTGGTACTATTTTCTCCCACTTTTTCTATTCTAATGCAGGTATAATTGTTTGTTTAGGATTCCAAAGTATCTGAAACAAACGGAAAAAAAAAAAAGAAAAAGAAAAAAGAGGGTAATGAAAGCTTCCAAAATTCGAATTGATATTCATACCTTTCATGTCAAAAGAGATAGGGAATCCGTGTCGGTTGTGTGGTGATAAATATTATAGAATATGTTAAATTTGACATGAATTTTGTGGTCTTGTATTTTATAGCATAAAGGACAGGTCGACACAGATTGATGGGTAAATCAATACATCGGCTGTTTGGAGAGTAGAATATCTAGTGGATCAAGGATCGTATGAGCCATATTTGATCATGCTCGACCTTATCTCCTTGATCTCTTGGCTTTGTATGGTGATAAACTATTTCCCTTGTCAAGTCACGAGAGAAAAATCGTAGAAAGAGATTTAAGAGAGATGTTCATTAAAATATATATGTTACTACTATCATATATCTCACATGGTTGGCTCTCGATTTGAGTTTTAAGCCTCCATTTGGTTCTGATTTTTCAAGCCAAAAGCTCAAATTTTTTTATCATTACTTAACATGATCAACCATCATTTTTTACTTCATATAGAGATGGGATTTATTTTTCTCTCTAATAGTCAAAAAATTGATTCTAAGAATCAATTTCAAAGAGATCCTTATTTTGTGTCAATTTTCATTATCAAAGCATAACGTGATGCCTCTTCTGACAACTCCCGCTGTTGCACATTCAAAGTCTTTGGTAAAAAATTCGAATCAAAATGAAAAAAACTAAGCCTCTCTGTTTGGATTTCAATTTTTTTTTTTTTTTTAGATTTTACTTTCAAAATTATATATTAGTTTTAATCATATGACTCATAAGTATTATCTATCTATTCGTCTATCATTTTTAGAAAATGTAAAATTTAAATAAAAGAAAATGAAACCTGACGTAAGCAAAAGAAAAAAAAATTTAAAGTACCCAAACACGTTTTAATTTTGCTTCTCTGAACTGACTGTACTTTACTTTTTGAGTCATGACTGACCTGTTTGAACACTTGACACGTATACGCTGTCCATAAAAAATTGTGGTGACTTCTCTGTTTGGCCCTTTTTTTTTTCTAAATTTTAATAGTTGGAATAATATTTTTTTGAAGAATATGTAGTTAAAAAGATTAAAAATTTTTGATTCACGTATAACACTATTTTATGAAAAATTGTGTGGTTGAAAATAAGAGAGAGAAAGAAATGAGAGAAAATGGAGGCCAAACATGAGCTTATTTCTTCCGGCCTCGGATTATTAAATGCATTATAGTATTGTTAAAAAATAATGTTATTTAGTATTAGTGGTGTTAGAATATCAATTTAAATGGCTATATTTAAAAAAAAAAAAAAAAGTTGAACCCCAACATTGAGGGTTTTCACCGCCCCGTCCCTAGAGCTTTGTGAGAGAGGTAAATTGCTGGATGTGCCTCATGAGGCCAGGGAACAAGAGTCATATGTACACTGCGCTTACAAGGAGTTCAATTTCATGTTTCAGGAATCGCACCCCCCACACTGCGACTGCCAGCAAAACGTCAGATAACATCGCTCATATCCTTTGCACCATTTGACAATGCCCCGGGGGGCAAAATAGTTATATTGTATATATTCACTTAGATGAGTCATATGCTTTTGTATATAAATGACGGGGGTACTTTAAAAAATATTTAATTTCATGCGTCAATTGATAAATGCTCACTTTTTAAAATTTAGCACTAAACTGTCTATTATATTCTTAATGAAAAAAAGAAGCAATTTATTTATTTTTCAATTTATTACGGATTTGGAGAAGTAGCTTCCATGAAAAGCTATATTAAAACGATGTTATAAACATTTCAAATGTCACTCTAGATATTTGAATCCTATTTATATTTTAAAATTACACATGTCAAATCATAATATTAAATTTTTTTCGACATTTCAAATATTGTTATCGACATTTCAAATATTTACAATGACATTTCATTCCGAACATGACATTTCTCTACACTTTAAATGTAATTATCGACGTTTCTGTGTTAATAAGAAAAATAACATTAATTGTGATTTGACATGTGCACTTTTGAAATAAATATGGTAGGTTATGTGTCAAAAATATATTGGGCAATAAAATTTTTGCAAAAATGTCCATTTTTGTCTTTGTGTGGAATCATAAATTGTTCACAGTGATATTTTGATCAAAAATGGACATTTTTGCAAGGATTTGTGAAAGTAGATATTTTTGCAAATGGATATGTGAAAGTGAACATTTCAAGTAATTTCCTCGAAATGAATATATCATTTAATGTTAAGTAATTGTCATCTAAATTCATTTTTAGTCCCCATTTGATCTTATTCAAAATCTAACAATTAATATTAACCACATTTTTCATGGATTCCAAAATTTTCAGTCATATATTTTAAATACATCGGCTGTTTGGAGAGTAGAATATCTAGTGGATCATATGAGCTATATTTGATCATGCTCGACATTATCTCCTTGATCTCTTGGCATCGTATGGTGATCAACTATTTACCTTGTCAAGTCACAACTTATATAATGAGATTTATGAGAAATGTTCATTAAAAAATATATATTACTCGCTCTGTTGGCTCTCGATTTGAGTTTTATTTTTTGTCAATTTTCATTATCAAAGCATAACATGACACCTCTTCTACTCTTCTAACATCTCCCGTGCTTGCACATTCAAATTCTTGGGTAAAAAATTCGAATCAAAATGAAAATAACTAAGCCTCTGTTTGGATTTCACCTTTTTTTTTTTTTTGAAAAAAAATTTACTTTCAAAATTAAATATTAGTTTTAACTTTCAATCATACGACATAAGTATTATCTATCTATTCATCAATCTTTTTTGAAAAAGTAAAATTTTAACAAAAGAAAATAAAACCTGACGTAAGCTAAAGATTTTTTTTTTAAGTATCCAAACATGTTTTAGCCTGGCTTCTCTGACCTGACTGTTCGTAACTTTTGAATCATGACTGACCGTTTGAACACGTGAACTTATACGCTGTCCATAAAAATTTGTGGTGACTAAAAATTTCTTGGGGCCTCATATTATTAAATGCATTACAGTACTGTTAAAAAATAACGCTATTTTGCATTTAAACACCAAATTAAATAACTATATAGTATATATCATACTTTGCTTAAAGAAAGAAAATTGCCTGAAAGTCCTTTCGGGTATAATCTAGTGGTGCAAAGAACAGGAGTGAAGTTATTTCACGTCTTGCTGGCAGCCGCAGTGTGGGGGTTCGATTCCTGATACATGAAATTGGACTCCTTGTAGGCGCAGTGTACATACAGCTCTTATTCTCTGGCTTGTTGGGGCACATCCCGCGATTTACCTCCCTTACAAAGCTTTAGGGGCGGGACCGTGGGAGCCCTCAAGGTTGGGGTTCAATTTTTAAGAAAATTGCCTCCACTATTCATTTAGGAGGCATTTGTTTGTTTCCTAATTTACCCTTAAATATCCATTACACTAATTCTAAATGGCAGGTCCAACGGTCTTTTCTTATATCTTCCATATTATATATTATTATATATACAAAATATCTTCCAAAACGTGATGCGATCAATGGCAACCCTAGCTTTCTCACTCCATATGGCAGAAAAGAAGCAAAAGAAAATCCCTCCCAAATCCAATCGACGACTACAATACCGTTTCTTCTCTGAAGATAAGTATAATTATCATACCTTCAATTTCTTCCTTTAGTGTAGATTTCCCGATTTTTTTTTTCGTTTCTCTTCTTCTGTAGTGCAAGCAGCAAGTTTCCCCATTTTTTTTTATTTATCGCAAGTTTGTTGGAAAAGTTCATGTAATAGAAGTGAAATTTAAATCTACACTCTGATTTTTTGGTGTTTATACATTCTTGTTTAATTTTCTAGATTTTAGAAAAAAATTTGTATTCGAAATAATACATGTGAAAAAATAAAAAAAATCCAAAAATATTGTAGTTTTTCTTCTTCTGATTCAACAGCTTGTCCAAAGCAACTATTTTCAATTTTTGAACTAAATAATTTAAAATTGGTTCAATTAACTGAAGTAAAATGTAATTTGAAACACAAGGCTGAGCACAGAAGTATTCACATCAAATACAGCTGTGTCATATTGAAGCATTTTATTTGGATTAGACAAAATATTATAAGAGAATGTGACATCCTTGAATATATCTGCACCTTTAGGATCATTTGCATTCTTGTCCGGATGGTACCTACACATTGTAAAATAAGCATAAATAACAACCAACAATTTTGTCTGCCTCATAAAACAGAGCCATTGATACATAAGGGCATAAACACACACAGAGAGAGAGAGAGAGAGAGAGAGAGAGACCATTCACAAAATACCATCCAGAAGCATCTACTAATAGGGTTCATGCTATAGATTATTTTTTCTGTTATTGGCAATAGATCTCTTGCAATATACTATAGAGTCTTATAAAATAAAATATAAAGGTTAAACTGAGAGCTTTAACAGTGAAACGGACCAATAGAAGACAAAGGACAAAGTAAAGAGAACAGAAGTAAGGCGAACAAATAGACCACCAACTTGGCAACTTCTGGAATGAGATTCTTCCTATCATGCATTTCTTTCTTTCTTTTTTTTCCTACTGACATTATTCACTGTATATTTTTGGTGCAAATATTTGTATAATTTTGTTATTTATCTGTTTATTGGGTTGATGAGTAAAATTTATATTAGGAGCATGTTTGCTAATTCACTAAGCTTAGGAAAAATAATAAAAATACTTTTATTCTATAGGCTTATAAAGAAGTTCCTATATGCCGGACCATATCCTTCGTGAATGCAAAAAAATTCTTTACATGCAAATCTTTACAAGGCTAAAACATTACTCTTTTCACTTTTCGATTTCTCAAACCTGATTTCGTATTGTTGTTAAAAAACAGTGAGGCGGATTTTACTATTCTCATTAGTAAAAGAAAAATTGTCTCCAATTCTTTGTACATATTTTTACTTCAATTTGACGTTCGTTCGTTAATAATGTGCAAGGTCTGACTGCTATCCATATTTATAATTTTCTCCTCTTCATTTCGCTTCGGTCAAAAGCTAAGAATTTTCTTTTCCTTCTATAAGTTTAGCTTCCTTTGATAATGTTTAATTAGATTATACATAGAAATTACTCGTTTAGTACTCTTATCTTATGTTTTGCAATATTTTGAAGTTCCATTTACTTTATTTGTGGCTGAGAACAATGTCAAACTTAGATTTCTTTTTTTTTTTTTTTTTTTTTTTTTGTTGACATTTGTTACAACTCCATAAATAATGTTAAATGGATTTATGCTTTGGTGAACCATATAATTGGCTTATGGAACCAATGCCAGCTCTTTACCTCCATTACAATCGACGAATCTGCTCTTTGGAATAAGGCCATATTGAACTTCAAAGTTCCTTTCCAAAAGTTTGGAAATGTGAGAGGTTTTGTGTTTAATGTTTATAGCATCATAAATCTTAGTTCTTTCTATGTGTATTGTAACTCTAATTATTTTCCCATAATGACCACGGTTGTTGGAAGTGCAATACTTGCATGAGTATGTAGGGATAAGCTCAACCATTGGGTTGAGAGCTAGCCCATTGTCAATAAACTGCATCATTAAATACTAGAAAGAGCAAATAACATAATGACAACCTTCAAATTCCTAATTGCTTTAGTTTGGATGTTTATAGTTTGTATGTTTTAGAAAGTGCATTTTATGTTATGTTAGTTATCATGTTTTTACATATTGTGAATAGGTTAAAGTCTTAAACAATTCTATGTAGGCAGATTTATTTTACTTGAAAGTTTAGTTTCCACATATGTATGATATAATATATGTGCTAATAGTTTTTTTTTTTTTTCAATTCTTTTAGTTCCTGTTGGTTACCTTGGGCTCCAACTATTCGATAAGTTATCTAATTGTTCTCATGGATGTTTCAGAAACATGTTCTAATGGAGTGACTGGTTCTCTGAATTTCGAAACAATGTCCCATCGCCAACAACAGAACCAAAGGCAAAGGGTTAGGCGAAATCGACTTAGAATCGGGTGCAATGATCGTCGTAAGAGGATAAATGATCCCATGTCATATGAAATTAATAATTCCAACGTTGAAAGAATACAACAATCTATAATGCATCATGATTTTGAGACTTCTACTTCAAACTAAGAGACGCATGATATTTTCAATTCTGCATTGCAAAGTAGTTTTAATGTACTGAACATACCAACGACTTCATATGTATTACCGACAAGCAATAGCTGTAAATATTGTGGTGCAAGAAAATTTTATAGAGAAAGTAAAGACTTTTGTTGTTTTGATGGAAAAGTTCATTTTAGTATTCCTGATTTACCAACTGAACTGTACAACTTGTTTACTTTCAAAGAACCTAAATGTATGGAATTTAAAAAGATTGCAAGGGGATATAATAATTATTTTGCTTTCACTTCATTTGGTATTAAATACAACAAAGAGCTCTTCAAATCATATAGAGGTATTTACACATTCAGGGTTCAAGGACAAGTATATCATTACGTAAATGAACTTATCCCACATAATAGTACACCTTCTTATATGCAATTATACTTTTAAAATACAGATAATGAACTTCAAAATCGTATGAAAAATTTAGAAAACTTTGTTTAATGTACTTTGATTGTTCTAATTGAAATCCTTAAGGTAAATCCGTACAGTAGATTCTTTAGGTCTTTAAGTCATAAAACAAATTTGCAAGAGGATTGAATACACATAAGATGTGACCCGGGACTTGATCAAAGATTCTTCAATAATCCTACAGCATCTCAAGTAGCTGCTGTATGGGTCGAAGATGATGAGAATGCTAATGTTCGTGTTCGTGACATTACTGTATATGGTCATTCCGGTGATTCACATATGGTTCATTATTACTACGGTTGTTATGATCCTTTCCAGTATCCGTTACTTTTTCCATACGGAGAATCTGGTTGGCATGAAGGCATTGAGAGGTGCGGAAAGGCCTATTTTCAGCCTGAACGTTTGCCTGAATTAGTTACCTTTCCAACTGCAGTCACCTCTGCAGCTGAATTTATAGAAAAAGAAAATCAAGGTCTAAAAAAATATTTATTGTGCATTCTACTAAGTTTAGCAGTGTAAATGTTAACAAATGATTAATTCATTTTCATTTTGTTTTGCAGTGTTGAATGGAACAAAGCAACGGTCTCAAGTTTTTTGTCGAGAATACTATTAATACAAATTGCAAATTAGGCATTCCGGTAAGTCTGTTTTGCTTCATAGTGGTAGATTATTTCAACAGTATGTTGTAGATATGTACGTTAAGATCGAAATTGCACGATTAGATTATTTTCATAATAACCAAAAATAAATTCAAGTTGAACTTTACCAAGGTATTGTAGACATTGTTCAAAATGGAGAAACAAGGGGATACAAAATTGGAAGAAAATTTGTTTTGTCACAATCCTTTATATGTGGGCCTAGAGATATGCTAAGAAAATATATGGATGCAATGACTATTGTACAATGCTATGAAAAATCAGATATATTTTTGACTATAATATGTAATCCAAATTGACCAGAAATTAGGCAAGAAGTATTACACAATGATGAGATTCAAAATCGACCAGATCTAATTACACGTATATTTAGAGAAAAAATTAGAAGAGCTAAAAAATGATTTATATATATATATATATATATATATATATATATATATATATTGCACGTAATTATGTGATGTCTAGTAATTTAGTTCTTGCGTTCGAGAGAAGGAAAATAGATTTGACAAGGCATAAAATATATATATATATATATAAAATCTTTGGCCCTATTGTTGCACATATATATGTTATTGAATTTTCAAAAAGAAGGCTTCCTCATGCACATCTATTATTGATTTTCAACTATGGCACAAAATTTGGTCTGCTACAAATGTTGATACGATAGTTTCATGTGAAATTTCTGACCAAAACAAATATCCTTATCTTCATTCTGTTATTGTTAAGCACAATATGCACGGCCCTTGTGGAGACTTTAATCCAAAAAATGTATGTATGAAAGCAAATAAAGGTTGTAAAAATAAATACCCTAGGGATTTTTGTAATACTATTATATTCGATGATAACTTATATCCATTGTATAAACGTCGTGACAACGGTATTTTTATTAAATTAGAGATCAAATGTTAGACAATCGATGGGTTGTACCGTATAATCCTTATTTAAGCACTAAATTTGACTGCCACATTAATGTTGAACAGTTGAAGTATGTTCTCTATTAAAACTGTAAAATATTTGTATAAATATGTGTACAAAGGACATGATTGTATTCATTTTTCAGTTGCCACAAATGAAACAGAGAAAGAAATCGATGAAATTTCTGTTTATCAATCTGCCAGAAGGATATCTCCACCTGAAGCTATGTGGAGGATTTTTTTTGTTCAATTTAGCATAAATTTATCTAACTGTTTATTCTTTACAACTTCATATTGAAAATCATCAACAAGATATGACGACCAAGATGATTTATCTACTATTATTGAGAATGAGAATATGAAAAGAACAATGTTAACAGAATTTTTTCGAATAAATGTAGCAAATGAATTTGCTTGTATACTATTGTATCGAGATTTTCTAGCATATTTTGTTTGGAATTCAACTAAGAAGATTTAGACTCCAAGAAAGAAACATACTGTTATAGGACGAATAGTCGTAGCGAGTCCATCTGAAGGAGAACGATATTTTCTACGCTTTTTTCTCAATCATATTCGAGGTCCAACATCGTTTCATGATTTACGAACTTCAAATGGAGTAACTGTTAATACATATCAAGAAGCATCACTTTTACATAAGTTATTAAGCGGAGATAATCATTGTTAAAAATGTCTATCTGAAGCTGTTGTTTATGAAATGCCTACTTCTTTAAGACGTCATTTTGCTACTCTTTTTATGCTTTGCAATCTCGATCATCCAAAGTTTTTGTGGGATAAATTTAAGGTTTATATGACTGATGATTATATACATGACAATATACCTTCTGAAGCTACTGAACTACGAGCTTTAGAAGACATAGGTTCAATTTTAGAATCATTGGGTAAAAATATAAATGACTATAAGATAGTGTCATTCAGTGTAAATATAGATGAAAATGAAAGGTTGAGAAGAATGGTGGTAGATGAGACAGAAAATTTGGATATTGAAGGAGGCTTTGCTTGTGCAGCAAGCTTAAATAATGAGCGACAATTTGCGTATGATACAATTATGGAAAAAGTGAATTCCAAATCAAGTGGAGTTTATTTCATTGATTGTCCAGGGGGAACAGGTAAAACTTTTTTATATAAAGCGCTTTTAGCTAGTATGAGGTCTCAAAATTTAATTGCTTTGGCTACTGTATCTTTTGGAGTATCTGCATCTCTTTTACCTGGAGGTCGGATAGCTCATTCAAGATTTAAAATTCGTTTGAAAATAGTTGAAGAATTTAGTTGTTCTGTTAGTAAGCAATCAGCTCTAGGGACTTTGTTGAAAATGTCAACTTTAATACTCTGGGATGAAGCACCTATGGTGAATCGTTGTGTTGTTCAACCTGTTGATAAAATGCTAAGATATATAACTGATTCTAACTTGCTTTTGGTGGAAAAGTGGTAGTTCTAGGAAGAGATTTTCGAAAAGTTTTACCAGTGATACCGAAAGGAAAGAAAAGAAGACATAATGAGAGCTAGCTTAGTTTTCTCTGTCCTATGGCCTTTGTATTCACATCTACCATTGGTTGAAAACATGAGAGCGAAATTAGATCCCACATTTTGTGATTACCTGCTCAGGATTGGAAATGAAACTAAATTAGAACATAATTGTAATTGCATTCAGCTTCCACACAATATAATTGTACCATTTGAAGACGAAATTACATCTCTAAAAATTTTAATAAGTCACGTTTTTCCAAATATAGAAGCATATGTTGATAATTTACATTCCATGGCAAATCGAGTAATTCTTACTCCTAGAAATGAATGTGTTGATAATATTAACCGAATTTTATTTGACCAAATTTCTGGTCAAATTTACACATATTATAGTTTTGATGAAGCAATTGACAAATCAGAACAAAGCCTATATGAGGATTTCTTGAATACTTTTGACTCCAAAAGGTATTCCATCACATGAATTGAAGCTTAAGATAAACTATCATGTAATGTTATTGCGGAATATCAATCATTCCGAAGGGTTATGTAACGGAACACGCCTTACTTGTAGAAAATTTGATAAGAATGTAATTTTTGCTGAAATTACAACTGGTGAGTATTGTGGAAAATATGTTTTCTTCCCAAAAATCCTTTTTGTACCTCTAAAAAGTAATCAAACTTCAATTCCATTCAAAAGAACTCAATTTCCTATTAGGCCATGCTTTGCAATGACGATAAATAAAGCACAAGATCAAACACTTGATTTCGTTGGTTTATGTCTTCCCAAACCAGTTTCCTGTCGTGGTCAACTTTATGTAGCATTGTCAAGAGCTAAAACAAGTAAATATTTAAAATTTTTACTTAAGCCATTAAGTATAAAAAATTTACACAATACATTTACTAAAAATGTTGTTTACAAAGAAATTATTTCCTTCATACGTCTATAAAACTATAACTTTTTGTAAGTATTATTTTCACTTATTTTAGTCGCCCTTTTGTAACATTAACTGAATATTATGAAAATTTATTTAATGCTGTAGAGAACCGATTTTACTACTATACTTTTGATTGAGTAGTTACAGACTTAAATCGTGCAGAAAAACCTCTTTAATAATTTAGCATCAAATGATATTCTTCTCATCGTAAGCACTTGTAATCATGTATATTATTTACGCTGTTCTTTTGTAATTGGTGTTCGTACTTTCTTGATTTATATTGAACACCAGCCTAAAGGGAACTAGTGTTGTTTTTGTCGAGCACATGAAAGCCCCTGTTGATATTATAATATCTCTTTCTATCTATATTTATATATGTGTGTATTTATTCAAAATTTTCTTCTAATCGTTAGTTAAGAGTCTTACATTTTGCATCTCATGGGTTTTGCGCTCTTGTATGGATTTGGAGTTTCTTGTTTCTTCTTCAAATGTGAAGGAGTCTTGTAAGATTTTGTTGCTGTATACTACTTAACAATTCAAGCTGAAGTTTTGTGTACTTACTAGGAATAAACTTGTTTTTAGTCACTGTAATATATAAATCATTTACTATAGAAAAAAATTGTTCACATTTTTCATAGCCATTTTAATTATATTTTAGGTACTCAAGAAGATGTTGAGGCATATGATACAACAGCTATAAAATTTTGAGGGCTTAATGCAGTAACCAACTTCGTTATCTTAAAATATGACGTACAACATATTATGGCAAGCAGGTGCAACGCTTGCTCCAAGGAGGAGCCAAATGTCGTATGCTGTGATGCCTTCACATGGACTTGCATATATTTGCATTATCGTTATTGGTGGACAAACTTTTCTGAAGGGCTTTTCAAATCATCCAAGTTCATGGCCAGGACTTCTGGTGGTAGTGATCTAGTCTGCCTTTCGTCCAAAAAGAAGACTTGTCCTCCTACTCTAGCTTTTATCTGTAAGCAATGATTGTCTATATTGTGGGATGATGCTTTTTCTTGCATTGGCTACTCGAATAAGTTTGAAAAAGTTGTCTCTCAGAAATTTTAAGATCAGTAACTCTGCTCACAGAGGTTGTGGGTTTTATTTTTTTTTCCAGGTGTACCATGCTGGATTTCTACTCCTACACCAATATAGGTACAGTCATGGCCCTCTCTCTCTCTCTCCAAAAAATCAAAGACGGTCTTCTCTCTCTCTCTCTAAATCTCTTGACTAAAAATCCTAAATCGTTTACAGAGATTAACAAATTCCTGTCTCCACAACCAAACCAAAGTGCAAGAAGAAGTGAAAATCTGCAAAAGAAGCTCATCTTTCGATAAAAGAAATTCTTCTATCAACGACGGAATGAGACACTAATTATTATTACGAGCTTTCTTAGGTAAGATTTTCTTTGGTTTCGGTGTTAGGATCTTAAGCATTTTTTATTTTTGGAAGGAAACTAGAGATTTTTAGTGACCTTTTCTATTTCTTCTGCTCGACTTTTTGAAATTCTAACTTGTCTTTGGATGTTTTGTCTTTGGGTCGATATTTTTGGGTAGGTGTCGACAACCAAACCAAATTCTAAGAAGAACCAAATTCTTAGAAGAATTGGAAACCTGCAAAAGAAGCTCCTCTATCATCGGCCCTAGCATACGTAGTGCAAGTCATTTTAAATGCTATGATTCTGTCTATGATGGACGTGGCAGGTTTGTTCCTTTTCATGTTTTGTTGGTTCTTGCAGTTACTTTCACGCTTTTAAATCAAGAAAATCAATGCATTGGTCCTTAGCCTACTGTCTCAGTAGAAGGTTGCCAATGTCCTTAAAGGAGCAAGTTGTACAATCAGCTTCCAATGGTAAAAATGTCTAAAATTTTCTTAGTGGTCAGTAGTCACTTGGTGCTTTAGGAAACATGCTTCACTTCAAATTTCTAGGCACCAATTTAAGTTGAGAAACAACATATAATCTCGTGAAGTTGGACATGCGAGGGTCACACCATGATTTAAAGGAAAACTGTATAGTTTCTATAGTGGTGGCAGATCAGCTGAGCGGCTCACCGGTTTGACTTGGTTCAGCCCATGAGAGCCACGAGCTGACTCGTCTTGAACTCGTGGGTCAACTTTCTTTTTTTGACTCGTTTTTGGTTTATTTTATTAATTTTAAAAAATAACAAAATGAGCCGCATGGTAATCAGCTCAGCCCATTTTACTCCTACATTTCTATCATTGAGGACCAATTGTTCTACAATGTTGAAGGATTGAGAACCAACTTACTTTTTATTATTATTATTTTATTTTATTTTTGAACGTGGGACACCAGTAATGCAATTTTTCCTTTAGAAAATTCTATGACATATTCCCATTCTTTTTCTTTTCCTTTTCTGGGGATGTGAGTTGTATAGCTTTGCAATGGATTTTGATATACAATGTATTGTTGACATTGTGTCTTGCTTGTCGATGATTGGCTTCGTAGTCTAACAAAATGTGTCTTTATAATATTTGATATGTGCAGCAATAGGTATGGTGCAAATCGCAGTAGAAGCCCCAATAGAAATTTAGTTTAACAGAATATGCTGATGAAACTTTTTCCAATTAGGAAGAGTAAGAGGATGAAGCAGCATTTGTGCTGAAGGCCGTATGATATTTCCAGATAAAAAATTGCGTGTTTCAGGCCGTGAACATGGACTGATTATTGATAAATTTTAGTCTTCTGACTTTGCATTTTTTCCTCTGTTGTATTCTTTGTCCTTGAAACCTATTTGAATAGTGCTTTAGCTACTACCAGGGAATTTATACTTGTGATAGTAAAATTAGGACTTCTTGTTAGACATTGTTACATGTGGACAACAAAGTAAGCTTCCTGTCCAATGAATTTACAGTTGGGTTTATAAATCTTTGTTATATACTTTGTTCTGTTAAGTAATTATTTAAACGTCTATGATCTCAACCAGTGTCTTGGTTACATCTATTTTGCTATTTTAGAAAACAAGTTTATGATAAATTTATTCTAATGCATGGATAATGATATGATCCAGGAGTCGAGCCTGACGAAGGCAAGTGCTAGACGAAACCCGTTGATAGTTGATGGCGGACCAATGACGCGATCAAGGGGAAAGTAAGTGAAACAAGCGATGGGATTGCTCGTTCAAGAAACCATGGATGGAACCATGTTCGGGACTCAAAATGGAGCAACTTTCATGTTTGGGTCGAAGGTCGAATCGACTTGGATCAATTTGTTATCAAGCGACGAAAGCGGAGACAGAAATCAAAACCATGTGGCCGCACAGGCAAAATTACATGCGGCCGCACAGCATGATACCGAAAATCAAAAGACCAGCTCAAGTTAAACCATGCGACGGCATGGGCCAAAAAAATTAGCGATTTTTCTATTTTTGGCCAAATTTTCTAGTTTCGATAGAATTCTTATGGAATCAAATTATTACCATAATTTGATGGTTTTGGACGTTTTTATTCATTAGTATAAATAGGAGAATATCTTTTCATTGTAAAAACCTTTGAACTTTGATATTGCTTAATATTATAGAGAGAAAATTATTCTTTCAATTTAATTGTTCTTCTTGAACAATCTTGGAACTTATCAAGATTCAACTTCTTGTGGCGTTCTATCAATCAGATTGTGGGTTCTTTCAATTGTAATCGAGGGGTTTTAGGTTTTTCGCTAATCTAGGGTTTTTTGGTTCAATTATTGGGGTTCAAGATCCAAAATCGGGTTAGTATTGGTGTTCTTGGGTTCCGCATCAATCTCGTTGTGAGTTTCGTAGTTTCCATTGCTACGGGGTTCGCATAAGATAATATCTAAACGTGATATGTTTAGTCTGTTGATATCGTAACAAGTGATGACCAAATTGTACTGTTTATCCACTTCTTTCCTGTAATTGATCCTAGAAGGAAATGAAATGGTCGTGGCTGGTGTTTTTGCTAATTAATTTTGTAGGATGACTTGTTTGACGTCATTCCCAAGTTCTCGTGTAATGAAATTGGTATTGGTGTGTGTGTGTGTGTGTAAGTTGTGTTTTGTTTTCTTCTAATAATTGAAGCCTTCGAAAGTTTTTACACATAATACATATACATTATTTTTAATTCAATAAATTTTCTTTTCTTCGAACGTATGGACCGCATTATACTACAATTGTTCTGCAATTTTTAGAGAATCTCTTCACAAAATTCGATCTTGATAATGACTACATCTCTTTATATGATTTTTAAACAATTAATATTAACATGTATGATAAAAAATAGTGACATTTCTATTTGTTGATTATTATAATTTATTTCTAAAATTTTATAGTAAACACTCTATTGTAGGGCAATTTGACTTCTCGAAAAAAATGGTCCAATCCAAAATATTCCACGTTCAAAAGCTAAGTAGAGTTAGTTTTAAAATTAATCATTACAAAATCTAGAAATAATTTGTATAGTTTTAAATTAATCATTACAAAATTTCCTATTAACTCATCCCGTATATGGGTAATTGGCGAAGTCCATAAGTTACTGAAGTAGTCAAGGAACCCCAAAAAAAAAAAAAAAAAAAAAAAAAAAAAGAGATACAGACAGTAGTGATCCATACATATTGATGATATTACGGACCAGAAAGTCATTGTGAAAACATGCTAAAACATTAATTTTAGAATATACATTTAACACGCTAAAAAATGCTCCAGAACACTCTCGCCCGTGCATTGCATGGGAAAGAGACTAGTTTAATTAAATGATCGCATGATTTTGTATTTAAATGAATATACGTGTTTGTCATCTAAATTTATTTTTAACACCAGTGATTATAGACAAAATTATAAAATGTGTATTACCTCGTCCATCCCATCCAACTCCACTATCTCAATCAGGGCCCAACTAAACTTGTTTATGCATTATTGTCTGTATCCGCCATCTAATCTCTTCTCGGCAAATTTGGTTATTTTGGGTTCGTGACATCTTAATAGATAATTTAAGTGGCGTTTAAATAAATATGTGACGTAGATTATGATAACGTATTTTCCATGATGATTGTGTTTCAATAAGTGATGCTCAATTATTACAGAATTGAAGGTAATGGGTTTGGAAAGTGACACTCCTGTAATTACAAGCGTCCATTTTCCAATGTTAAGTTATCAAGTTGAATTTGATAGCTTTCGAATCAAGGAAAAAGCTCCTTGTAAACTGTGGATTGTGGGCCTCCTCATTGTGAGGGGCCTGTAAGGGTGTACAGCTCCCAGCAATCCTTCGAATCAAACATCACGAGTCAAATTTCAAATAATTTGATTTATTTTTGGTCATAATCTCACTTTCCGTCTCCTAAAGAACGTAAAATCACATGGTTTCGAAGAATGCTCCAAGCACACTTCCGTTGACAAAGTCGTGTAAAAATTCCTTACGTATCTTATTTTATTTGGGTTGACGAAATTTAGTAATTGAAATCTCAATTACAGAAAACCAGTTCAAAAAATGAACCCAATTTTAGTACCCAAAAGGGCAATCCTGTCCATAAATTTATAACAGTTTTATTATTAGAATGATTATGTTGCAAGTGCAACACATTTTAAAATTTACACTTAACAGTGTTAGTATTAGAATGGTTATATTATAATTGAATTTGATCTCCTCTTCTGAGAAGTGGAAAGTTTTTATCCTATTATAAGTGCACCACATTTTAATTGCGTAATTTTTTTTTTTAAACTTTTAACTATGTTCTCATTGCATTTTTATCTTCAATATTTTATTAATCAACATATCTTGACGATTTCGTCAACAATTTTGTTAAGAATATATAAAAATACTTTTTGCCCTTTGAATTTTTAAATTGACAAAAAAAGAATAACAAGTATATGTCTCTTATTTTATAGCACGATAACAAAAAAGAATAAGTAAATATTAGAGATCTTTAATACAATTAAATTGGGGTGCACTTATAAAAAAAGTTGATGTATTATTGAAGAACCATGCTGCTGTGCTAGGGAGGGTCTCCTTGACCTATTCTCACATTTGGGGGTCGGTGGGGCCTTTTCTTGCATTTTAAATTCACCTCGGGTCTCACCCGATCCCACACCCATGTGAGTATCTGTCAAAAGGGTGGGCAAAAAAGCCCTGGCATATTTTATAGCACGATAACAAAAAAGAATAAGTAAATATTAGAGATCTTTAATACAATTAAATTGGGGTGCACTTATAAAAAAAAGTTGATGTATTATTGAAGAACCATGTTGCTGTGCTAGGGAGGGTGTCAACACCCTCCCTGACCTATTCTCACATTTGGGGGTCGGTGGGACCTTTTCTTGCATTTTAAATTCACCTTAGGTCCCACCCGACCCCACACTCATGTGAGTATCTGTCAAAAGGGTGGGCAAAAAAGCCCTGGCTCAGCAGCATATTTCATTATTGAAAGGATAAATATGTAATTTAAAAACTTGAGAACTTGCTAATCCTATCCATACCCTATTGTCCACCCATATTTGTGATCTTATTTTGTGGTCCTTATCGAAACTAGCCTAGTTAAAACGCTCGGATATAATTTAATAACAGTATATTTATAATCAAAATATAATAAATACTTTCAATATGCAAAGTAAAATTTAATGCATATTAAGTTGCACAAAATTACCTCACTACCCATTAAAAAATATAAATCGAAATGACTTAAATAATATTATTTTTGAGTAATAAATACTCTAAATCTTCACGGGTTTGAATTCACATTTTACCTACTCAAATCTTAATTTTTCTTAGTATTTACTGTTTAAGAATGTATCACATGATGCTGCTGTTACATTTGTCCCCTAAAGGTAGAAAATTATGTTACCTTTTGCTTCTTAGCCAACTTAAACAAATATTCGTGCATCTTCCGGGAAAATAGACAAAAAAACATAAAGAAATATGAGTAGACAGCCACCCAAATGGAACATCAATGCTTCAACAAAAGAAGACTAGAAGCCACTGTATTTAAGAGCGTTTTATTTAGCATGTTGACTCGACTCTAAAAGCGAATGGTTAGCGTGTTAAGATTCGGTAAAATTAGTCGATCATCAACGTGTTTTTTGTGTACTTCTAGTAGTGACGTTCTTGGATAATCTAACGACGTTGTGCTACCACAATAATAATCGAACTTTGTTAATAAGATAATTTTTGTATATGGACGAAAAAATTTGAGGATGAAAAAGTTTAGTAACTTTTCCACTCGGTAGAAATGACAATTAAATTACTATTGCGTGTGACTATCGAGTAACGAGAAATTAATTTAATTGTGTCATAAAAACAACTGTATAAGATCAACAAACTTGATAAATCTCGTCGAAGTTAATTTCTTGTTGAAATTTTTATTCCAAAATTCAAGTACTTGTATTTTTATAATAATTTAGAATGAAAATGGAAATTTCAGCTAATGTGTACGTGAAACACATGGGCAGATTTTTTTATTATGTAAAGATGATTTGCATAATAATTTTGCTAATATTATAATAATTAATGACAAGCATTGACTAATGACATGCAAATAAAGTTAAGAGGGCTTTCAAGACAAAGTCATTTAATAATGTATTCCTCACTTTCTTGACAAGGAAATATCGGATATCTTATCTTATATGAAGACACCGGTGGGCTCTTCTTAAACTTTTTGAAAAATTATTCTTTCCCTTTTGTCTTTTTATTTCTATTGTTGGGTAAAACTTTAACCTTTTTCTTAGCCTATGTTTGAAACTTTTTTTTTTTTTTCAAATGAGTTTTGTAACAGTGAATTTTTGAAAAATGTGTAATAAAAAGTAGGAATTTTTTTTGAATTTACATGTAAAATATTTTATTGAAAGAATTTGTCCATTTCGACAAAATATATCCAACCGATGAGGTTCTATACTCTCTATCTCGATCTCTATTTAATCAGGCATTCAGTGACCACCTTTTTTGACCACTTTTAGTCTAGACCACAAATGATTTCAGTGTACTAAAAAAATTAGAAAAAGACTAGTTGAGTCACTTGAATGGAATGAGACATGAATTTCCCTAGATCTTTCTTCCCCACTTACACGTAACAAGCTTTTCTTTTGTAGAATACTTCTTCCAAATGACATAATTGTCCTTTTTTCCCGAAAAGTCTACAAAAGAAAAATGAGAAATGAAAATAAAAACGTAGAACAGATCTTGACGATCGACGCATGAATATTTTTTCCATAACACGTGGACACACAGTATGATCCTTTCATGGTTGACATGACATCCAGATGAATTATGATTACTTCGGTATGTAACATGGATGATATTGCTAAAAAGGTAAAGAATATCTCCAACATTTTCTATTTTAAAATTACGATTTACGATTTTTATCTAATTTAATATTATATCTAACTATTTTATTGAAAAGTTTATGTTTAACATTACTTGTTATCCCCCTAAGTCCTCTATTACATTGAACTTGGTAACACACACCCCACATAGAAAAATTATCATGTTACCTTATAACATATTTGATCTCCAGTCCACGGTGGAGAGGATAAAAATTTTCTACTGCTGACATGGCAAGATAATTTTACTTGTGGTTCTTTGCAACAGTCATATATTTAAAGAACCATATTTAAGGTTATCTCCGCCACATTAGTAGCGAGAAATTTTATCCTGTCTACTAGTGGTAGGAGATCAATTCAATACCTTTTAATTGAAAAGTTATAGAAAATGAACCATTTTTTTTGTCAAGGAGTTGAGTGACTTTACTAGACTAGCCAGAGTCGAATGTGTATTGCACGTTATTTTGAAATACTTTTAAGTGATATAAAAATAATCTTTGATATCAATTTGTTGGGAGGATTTGATGAGTTTTAAACGAAATAGGATAGAAATTTAAGAAAAGAAAATTATACTCTCAAAACTTAACTTTTATAATTAAATTTTTTTGTGAGGTGAAGTACTAAAAATGATTTTTATACAGCGATTGGCATATAAGAATTAATTGCTAATATGAACTAAATACCCATTAAAATTTTTACATATACTAATATAAATAAACTCATCTATAATAGCTTTAAGTTTATGTAAATCAAAATTCATCAAATCAAGATTGAGTTTAGATTAATGCGGATGTTAATTAACTAAGAATTAATAACACGAAATTCATACATGACATTGATTTTGTAGTACTTATTACTTATTGAAAAATGAAAAGTAAAGTATTATTTTATTTTCGAAATAATTGAATATAGTACTAGTATAGTTAAAATCATCCAAAAAATAATCCTACATGATGTGATATTTAATATATTATATTATATATTATAGATATTTGTGCATTTAATTTCTTTATTATCTAGAGCATATTTAAGCCCTATTATTTGGAAAATAATGTGTTTTAGAATAGTCTTTTGACGATGAATGATTGGCTGAAAAATAAGAAAAAAATTTGAATTTACGTGTAATATTATTTTATTATAAAATAAATCGCTGAAAATAAGATAGAAAAATGTATTTCAAAATAAAGAGGACCAAACAAGGGTCTAGCACGGACAAATTGTTTGGTTAGTGTGAATGCAATTAATTTAGAAAAATCAATGATAATAGGACAGAGAAAGACAGCACAGCACAGCACGCTCGGTACGACTGAACACTATTTGTTGCTGATTTTCAAGTACGGACGACTTGACTTTGAACCCAAAATTCTCTTTATGTTTATTCCTATTTTCACAATCCTAAACGCGTAATTCTACACTAACACCACATGTTCCTTCTTAAATTTAGCCTCTTTGTTACCATATCGACTCATTTAGTGATTAATCACTAAGTTAGATATTGAAATATTTTAAGAAAATATATTTCTTATATTGCTGATGGTAAATGTGTCACGACATCTTTTGATTAGTTTGGTTGATTTTAAAGCCTATCTTTCTTGTAGAAATAAAGCAAAATGGAGGATTCAGTCATCCGTCAGAAGAATAGGGCGTGTGAAGGTCAAAGATTGTTTGATGCTTAAATTAGTGAGTCATAATACAATTAACCTAAAAGTATATTTACGTGGAGAGGATGCCTTGTGGCTGGAAATGAGCTCTTTAATAAGGTCTTCGAGAGTTGATAACATCCTAGTCACTCGGCCTCTATTTGGGCTCAATTTTGTCGAAAATTTATTTTTTCTAAACTCATTTTTAACTATAAGTTCTCCTATAAAATAATTTTACACGTAAATTTAAAATTTTTCCTTATTTTCTAGAAAGACATTTTTCAAAAAATTACTATTTAAAAACATATTTTTCCTAATAAAATGAGGGTCAAATAGGGGCTTAACGTGGAATGTGAACTTCAGTTGTCAAGTGCTTCCTCTCGATCCTAATAGGTTGCTCATACAAGTGCGCTAGCGCTATCATTACCCATAGACTAAACCTCTTATCAACACTCGTAATTGGACGAATAATTTACATTGAGTGTTATCCAAACATGTTCAGCTACTAAAGTGATAATTATTTCGGTTCATATTCCTTGAAGCCTTTCGTCTCAGACTTAATAATGGAGACAAAAAGTTGGTTTATTGAGTTACCCCCTTACGTTAGAACTTTCTTCGATTAGCATCGTGATCTCAGAAAGGTCGTTGTATTGTGGGATCGACCTTCTCGAGGCAATAAAATTTGAGTAATGCTATCACGATTCAATACGGTCCACATAGTGTAATTGAAATTTGAAGCAAACCAATCAATACTGTGACACAAATGATTTTTTTCAATAAGTTAATTTTTTTTATTTTTTTATTATTTTTTTTAATGTGGTCAGACGCCTTCCACATGGTGTAAACCAACAACTCCACCGTTCCCAAAAATAAAAAATAAAAAAATTGTCGGGCTCATATGTTTACAGTTTTCCGGGAAATTACTCGCTAGCACTGCACGCGAAACCACGCCCTCGCCCACCCTCACCCTGACCCTCAGATTCTCAGGCCGTTTGTCTGTAAAAAATTGAGGGTCAAACAAAAGCTATTGTTACATGTGAACTTCAGTTGTCAAGTGATCCTCTCGATCCTAATAGATCGCTCATGACAAGTATGTTAGGACGATCATTATCCGTAGACTAAACCTCTTGTCAGCACGTGTAATTGGACGATTAATTTACATCGAGTGTTATGCGAACTTGTTTAGTTATTAAGATGATAATTATTTCAGTTCATATTCATTGATAAAGTCTCTGACTCTAACCTAATAACGGAGACAAAAAGTTGGTTTGTTGAGTTATCCTCTTACGTTAACTTTCTTCGATCAGCAGCATCGTGATCTTAGAAATATCGTTGTACTGTACGGTCGACCTTCTTGAGACAATAAAATTTGAGTAATGCTATCACATTCAATATAGTCCACATAGTGTAATTGAAACCAACCAAATAATACGGTGACACAAACGATTTATTTAATAATTTTTTTATTTTTAATATTTTGTGGTCAACGCTGAAGTCTTTACTGTCCACATAGTGTAAACCGACAACTTCACTGTACCCAAAAAAAAAAAAAAAAAAAAAATTTGTTCGGTTCATATTTTTACCGGGAAATTACTTGCTAGCACTGAACGCGAAACCACCCACTCCCGCACCCTCAGACTCTTAGGCCGTTTGTCTATAAAATTCACCGGGTCACCACCGAGTTCTCTTCAATATTTTGACTCAGCTCTTTCAATGGAGGTCCAAACTCAAACTCTCTCAACCTTCGATACTTCTCATTTTTCTTCCACTTCCATAAACAACTCGGAGATTTGCAACGCTGAGGTTCAGTACCCCGAGATGCCTGGTTTCTTGAATGAAGCTCCGGAAAAGAATGAAGTTGAATCACCGGCCTCCGGTCGACGAGAATTCGAGGATGGACGTGGCGAAATGGCGGTAGGTGGAAGAGAATGGGAAGGTTCTCTGTCGACCGGAGCTCCGATGAGCCCTGTCGGTGCTCCGAAAACATGCCTTAAGACTGCCGCCACGAAGGTGCAGAAGGTTTACCGGAGCTATCGTACGCGTCGCATGTTAGCAGATTCCGCTGTGGTTGCTGAAGAGCTCTGGTAGGCATTTTTTTTTTCCTTAAACGTGCTAAAATTGATATACGTGTTGATTTACGAATTAGTCGATTAGATTATGGAAAGCACAAAAACGTTTGCGTGTAAATTTTGCTCAATTTTTTTCCCATTTTTGGTGGTGAAATTGAAGGTGGCTTGCCATATCCTATGTTGATTACCTGAAGCCAGATACCGCATTCTCGCGGTGGAATCGTGTCATTTCGAATGCTTCCAAGGTATAAAACCGGTTCCTTCTTGTTACTTTTTAGATCAATTTTAACTTTGAAGAAGAAAAAATAATTGATGATGGAAAACTTAACTCCGATTTACTAGATTCATTATTGTGTTTAGAGAAGGACAACAGTTGATGATTTGTCTTTAACTCAATTCATGGACAGGTGGGCAAGGGCTTGTCTATGGATGCTAAGGCACAAGTATTGGCTTTTCAACACTGGATTGAAGCTGTGAGTCTAATCTTTATTTCATGCCTCTTTCTGTGGAGTTCATTTACCTTTGCTTAATTGCAAGCTGTCTACCATTAGTTCGTGCTTTTCTCAATAGTTTCCTTTCGACGATAATAATTTTTGTGAAGTTGACATTAGATTGTTGTATACATTATCTAGATTGATCCAAGGCACCGCTATGGACACAGCTTACATCTCTATTATAAAGAGTGGTGTAAAAGTAACGCTGGTCAAGCCTTCTTCTACTGGTGAGAAAATTTTGAACTGATTTGATGTCTTCAAATTTTGATCTATTACTGTGAGCATGATAGTTTATCAAAGGTGGTCAAACATGCAAGTTACGTTTAATGACCCTAGGATTTGGGAAAAAGAATGTCATACCACTACTGTGTTAATGAACTGATATAAGAGTACCAAATCCACAATCAAAAATATGTCAGTGATTATCACTAACTTGTATGCTTTTTCTATTATAAAATATATCATATAAGCAAATCTATGAAATTGTCACAGTATTCTTCATGCCTTTCTAGTTGGACGAATGTAGGGTGGGATTGCCGTGAAGGCAAAACTATGTTGAATCCAGCTATATAATTTGTTTATTGTTATTTTGAACTGGTGTGTAATTGGTTTGCTATAGTACAAAGTGGAAAAACGCTAAAACGTCAACATATCTACTCTGTACAGGCTCGATCTTGGAGAAGGCAGAGAAGTTGATCTTGAAGAGTGCCCAAGATCAAAGCTCCGTCAACAATGCATCATGTATCTTGGGCCAGTATGTGATTAGAATTTTATTACTTACTGCGAGGCACTTATATTTAATTCTTCTGTAGTTAATGGATACAGTATGTGATGCAACCATTCTAGTGATACCTATTGTCTCTAACTATCTTTCTTAAAATGTCATTCTGTTCTGACCCATGCATTCCAAGTAGTATTCTTAGTGTTTTATTCTTCTTTGCTATTGTCAGCAAGAGAGAGAACATTATGAGTACGTGATTGTTGACGGAAAAATATTGCACAATATAACTAGAAAACCTCTTCATACAAACGAAGGATCGCTAGAGCTGAAATGGATCTTTGTGGTGAGCACATCCAAGAAACTCTACACTGGAGAGGTAATGTCTAAAATGAAATAAGAAGTATACATATGATGTTTCTTTTTGAACCTCCTATATCTTGAAACTTTTGATTGATTTTTATACATCTATATTTTAATTACCTTCAGAAAAAGAAAGGATCTTTCCATCATTCCAGTTTTCTTGCGGGAGGGGCCACTTTAGCTGCTGGAAGGCTCATGGTAGTAGATGGAGTTCTTAAGGTACAGTCTGGGGTTGTGATTACCCAAAAATCTAGTGACAAATTTGTGTTTTGCATCGTGTAATGCTGAGTGTCAGAAAATACGTTCTCTCTAAATTCATACTGAACTTAGCGAGTCCCCCAGATTATTCAGTTCTTGTCTTTTCCTTCAGGCTGACAAACGTCAAACAATTTTCATGAAGTTCTCTATTTTGCTAATCCCGATAATTTTACACGATAACTGGTTTCGTTTATATGTCAAGCAGATAATCTGCAAACATGTTTTATTGGCTCAGCCTGTCTTTGTTGTTACAAGTTGATGGCTATAACTTTGATTTCTGGTGTGTGGGAAACCTACTAACAGCATGATCGAGCAGGAATTTTATTGGAGATGCCAGCTAACTGTTGTAATAATCTTCCATCCACTATATCCTACCAGTAGTACTTGATTGTTTTTGCCGTTCTTGGTAGGATTAAGAAGCTCAGTTGTATACTGTTAAGTAGGAGAGTTAGTCTGTATTTGGGAGGCTGAACCAAGATTTCCAAACTATTGCTTGGTGTGATATATGTTTTATCTGACCCTGTGGTAACTGAGTAATGGGGGTGCAGTCACCACTGTTGCCAAACCTAACTCTTTGAAAATACAATTTGTTTATTTAGTTGCAATAATGCATTTTGATCTCATGCAAGTACTTTACTTTCTTCAGTGCATCTCACCGTACAGTGGACATTATAGGCCAGCTGATGATAGCCTTGAGAGCTTTTTATCAATTCTCAAGGAGAACGGAGTCAACCTGGATGAAGTTGAGGTACATCATCTGCATGTTCATTTTTTCTGATTATTATTTACATAGCCTAGATAATGGTGTGTACTTATTGTGAATAGCTGTCTTCTTAAGTAGTTTTGGGGAAAATAGAGGTGATAGATTGATTCTGAGGGCAACTGGGGGCCACTGCACAAACCGATCTCTACAAAAAATTGTTAAAATGATGAATAATGTTTTTATATATATTTTTAAAAATCTAATTATGGCTACTTATTTTTGTGTAAGTTATGAGATGAATAATGTCAATTAATAGTTGTCCCCCAAAGATGCAGTCCTTGATGTGCCTCTCATTGGAGTGGACACAATCATAGGTAAGCTTGACTCCTCTTAAGGGTAGATTATGATAAAAAAGAAAGCCTTCTGGTCCTGGGCATCAGCCTGAATTTAAGATGCTGTTGATGTACTTTAATGGGTATAAGCGCAATATTAACAGCTCAGGATGTTTCATCAATGAGAATTTGCTGTCCTCACATAGTGCAGCTAATTTTCTTCTAGATGGCAGTCCTTCTCTGGGAGTTACAATTTTAATATTTCCCCTAATGGTGCTGTCCTGTGTTGTCTTCTTTATCAGATCCGCAAAGCAAATGAAGATTCGGAGAGTCACTACAATGTAAAATTGGCTAGCGACCTATCTGTCTCAGAGTCTGTTCAACCCAATCTTCCCAGTGAAGAAGATGAAAGAGACCTGCCTTCAGAAACAATTGATGCCTCTCGGCCTGAAATTAAAATTGAGTACAAGAGGACTCTCTCTGGCGGTCTCCAGAGCCCTAGATCAGAAGTGCCAAAGGCAGCAATAATGCAAAGAATTAACTCCAAGAAGGCTGCAAAGTCCTATCAATTAGGCCATCAACTCTCGCGCAAATGGTCGACGGGTGCTGGTCCTAGAATTGGTTGTGTTGCCGACTATCCTGCAGAATTGAGGTTACACGCGTTTGAACTTAGCAAACTCTCCCCCAGAGCATCTCCGTCATCATCAACTCCCAGGCTGACTTCTGCTCTTGCTTCGCCTACCGCTTATCCAGCATAGTTTAGAAATGGTGACACCACAAGCTCTTAACTTAGCGTTGTTATTTCAGCTTCTCCTATACCCTCCTGTGGGCTTTGCTATTTTACTATGATCTATCTGATCTTCTCTTTGTATGCTGTTTGAGAAAGTGAATGGAACCGGTTGCTTCTTTGTAAAATCTTCAAAGGAAAATTGGGAACTATGTTCTGTTTCATGAACAAGTATCTTTAATTCATGTTTTAAGTGATTTTTCCCGTTTCACACTTTTAGAGCGAGAAATTTATTACTCTTTAGTGCTATCAAATTTCGCTCTGAATAAATAAATAAATAAAATGCTACAATCTGATGGGTGGAGGTCGATGACAACGCTAAGGTTTTTGTAAGGTTTTGATTGCGGATTTGAGATTTGTGTGTGGACAAGATTACTGTTTTGTACGGTGAGTAGGGATGGGAAAGTTGGCAACGGTCAGAAATTATTGGTTTTGTGGTTATTTGTCCGACTGGATACGAGCGAGGCAGGGTGGCGGTGATGGTGATGGTGATAGTGGGGATATGGCAATGAGATGGTTGTGATGGTGGCATGTTCGATTAGTTGATTACAAATTTATAATTTTTTATTATGTCTTTAATTTTTAAAATGTTATTTGCTGTATTTTTGGTTTTGGTCGCCGGTTTGTGGTGATTTTCACTAGACGGTGGTGGCATCGAATGGTGTAGATATGATGATTTGGTAATGTGGTGACGATAATAATGGTCGTGGTGGGAGTGGATGATGATGTTAAATGAGTTAAATAAGTTACAATTTCAAAAAATTACACATACTTTAGTAACAATAACAAATAGCATAAGTTATAATTCGAAAAAAATTACATATATTGTAACATGATTTAATTGTAAATTATCATAAAAATTATTGAAAATTGATAAGATACAGAAAATTACATACGAGTCAAAAAATTACTTACAAATAAAAAAAATAAAATACATACATTTATAAAAAAGGATGACTAGACAATACACTTGATTTTTTGGAAATAATTTCTACCGACAATATAACATTGATTTTTCGACTTGGTCCCCTAAATATTTGTAGTAGTGTAATTAACTCAGTAAATTTCGTTTTTATTGCTTAGAGGCCGTCTTAATAAAATTTCACTACAGTCGTTTCACATGACTAAATGACCGTATTTTATAAAATTTTGGTGTAAATTTCATTTTTCACTAAAAATAGTTGACTAATTAAAAATTTTCCTTAAAAATTTTATGGACCATCATGAAATGTGTCGTACGTGAGCAGACATATTTGTTAATTGGACCTTAAAGCTACATGTATATCAAATTTTACATAATGGGTTACACAATGTCATATATCACTATATCATGGAAAATTCTACTTATACATAATTATTGCACATAATAATGTTCATAATGTGTTGTGACAATTATCCGATTGTTGAATCAGATAGATTTATATCTGAAAGAGTTTACAATAAGTTCTTTCAAAATGACTATTTGTCCCTTTGTCAGAGGATGTGCAAGTGTTAGATTTGAATTAAAGATTGGATCCAGTGTCACGTGTAATTATGGACTCCATTATATAGACAATTATGTACATGTAGCACTTTCCCTATATCATTTGTCAGTTTAAAATATTGATAACTTTTTCATCAAATCTTTTCTATTCACATAATTTTATGTAATATCTTATATACCATTTTAGGTACAAAAGCATAATCCTTGTTAATTTATTCGCTTATGTCGTTTAAAATATACCATTTTTAGGTACAAAAGCATAATCCTTGTTAATTTATTCGCTTATGTCGTTTAAAACTTAAGTCTTAGAGTTATGTGATACAAACAAGGTTGATGACAAGATTTAAAAACAGTGGGACACGTATCAACATTTCATTGGACAGTGTGAAAAAAAAAAAAACCCAACAATTGACACTAACCCTGTCCACAAACTCTATTCAAACAACATAACTCTAAGTCTTAAACACTTATAAAGTGCAATTAATAAATAAAGGGAATAGATGACGTGGCTCAAGATTACATATTTCCATGCACGATTAATATTTAATAATTATGCATTAAAATAAAATTAAAAATTCCACCATAACTTATATCTTCATTATCTTTTCCTTTTTTTTATCATTAGATAGATTGAAAAAGAATTAAACAAAAAAATAAGCTAAAATCTTCCGCATATTACCTTCCAATCCCATTCAAAATTGTGTGTTAAGCACCTACTTAAAATATTGTTTCACCTAATAAGACAGACGAGAAATAAATGAATTTTTTCACCTTGAAACGTTATTCGTGAGTTCAGACTTGAAGTTTAGAGGCCCAAAATTCAAAGAGTAAAAATTCTCAAACCAACAATTACGAGTCAAGTTTTAGATCGTTTGACTTTCTGGGAAAGTTCCTTGCAAATTTGTAATACAATTTCCACACGTATCTTTATATTAATATTTATCTTTGGATTGACTGTTTAATTATTCCTATAACTACCCAATTTAATAATTTTTAGTACGGTCAATGTACAATTTTAACAACCAGACATATTAGTCTTTTCGACTGCAAAATGTTCTGTGCACACAACTTTTAAGAGTAGAAAATTGCCCATATATATTGTTTTGAGTTATGCTGCATGTACATTGTAATATTTATAATGTACAAGTGACATAATATCATTGGAAAGTTGAAAAATAGTTTTTTCAATTCTCCAATCATAGAACTCCACATGTATATTATAGATACCCTTATTGATATCATAATGTACAATTTTTTCACACGCTAAACAGAAGCGATATATGTGTTAAAAATGAATTGAGAGGATGGGAAATCTTGACCCAACACGGAGAATAAATCTGTTTCCATAAATTTAGTAGTATTAGAAAATTAATTGAGTGTAAACTAAAATCATAGTTAGGAGACAGAAAAGTATCAGAATAAAGAATTGAAAGATAAGTTTGTTGGGGAAAAAAAAATCATTGTAAAAAAGTATTTTTATGGTAGGGTCAATGTAGATAAATGAAAATCGTATCACCTTTCTTTGAACGGAATTTTTTGAAAAGGTTAATTATTTTTGACAGAACAAACATGAGTATAAAAAACTCAAGAACTCGTCAATTTCATCAGAATCCTATTATCAAATTATACTTAAATTCTTATTTTGTAGTCTAAGTAGGACAAATACTTCCATGGGAGGATCGCATCACGTGAATGGTGCGACCATCAATGCCGAGCTGCCACCTCGTCGGGGTGGTCCACCATCACTCCGAGGTGGTGAGCCACCCCGACGAGATGGCGCTTTCTTAGAGGACATTCGCAACACCACCATGGAAGTATTTCTCCCTAAGTAGGAACTGTTGGTGACAATATGGTTGAAATTATCAAATATAGTTACAAGAATATCGATAATTACGCGTTATTGCTATATAATAAATATTTCAATTAATTAGCACATATTAAGCTATGCAACATAATCAACATAGCACCCATAAACAAAAATTCAGAAAGATTAAAACAAAACTTAGCTTTAAGAATATAAACAAATAAATACCATCAAGTCCGAATACTTCATTTAAAGAGATTCATTTCTTGAACGTTCTAAATAAAGATAATTTGCATAATAAATTTCTAAAATATTTTAACAATTATAGATTACATATAAACAAAGACAAAAAAATGAGTAGGGATGACACCGAGAGAAACCGCCCCGAATGGGACGGGGATTACCCGTCTAATCAGAACGACTACGAGGCGAGAGTCATTGTTCGAAGCGGGTATTTACGGATATGAGAATCATAGTCCCGACTATTTGCTACTTGCTCCATTTAAAGTTAATTTCAAATTTATTTTTTTATCAAACTAAAATAAAAGATTTATTACCATTTCTAAATAGAAAGTGAGTTGTTTTTAAAAATTAGAAAAAAGTAGTAATATTCACTAACTAAAGAAATAAAAAATAAAAGTAAAAAAAAAATATAAAATAAAAATGGGGTCGGATGGAATAGATGACAAAAATACTCGATGAGAGCAGAATCGGAATGACCGACTTGCCATCCCTAAAAACGAGAAGACAGATCTGCCTCCGAAGACAACGAGTAGGCCATTCTTACGCCTTTTGAAAAGTATGCTCAGTCATTTTTCAAATTTTATCATCTCATGTTAAATATAAACTAGAAACATTCATGTTGAACGTTGAATTATTCCTGTAGCCTTCATGTAGGGACGTCTTGACTTTGAACATTGACTTGTAACCACTCGACTTACTTAGTACAACACCCCAAGTTTGAAAAACATAAAAAAGTTATTTTTCACTTAAGATAGCAAAAATATTCGTCAAATTCAATATCCGTGCAGACCTGCTCTGAAGCAGGTACAGGACGGGTGTATAGATAACAGTGCCCCCCTCCCAAACTCTATTTTATTATTAGGCCATCTCTAACCTCGCACCAAATTTTGCACTAAATCTTGCACCAAACTAAAATTCATCTCCAATCATTACACCAAAAATTACATCAAATGAACAGTATTTAACCATTTTATTTCCTTTTTTTATTCTTTATAATTTACTTATTTGAAATGTTATTTATTTAATTATTTCATAAATACATAAATTACTAAATAAATAATTATGTTAAATTACAGAAAAAATTAAATTCATTAATAAATATAAAAAATATAGAACAATTAATAAAAATACTACAACAACGAAAATATGAAATCATGCCGTCAGAAAATAGTACAATGCATTTCGAATTTGGATAGACGATATTACGAAATCGCTAAATTTTTGCAATTTAATTCTCAGAATTCATATGTTCATCCTACAAATAATCGATTAATGCATTTTGAAGTGCAATGTGAATTTCTTTATCCTTGATTTATTTATGACGAGTAAGGGTATGTATGTATCCTTATGTATCCTTTTTTTAAAAATAAAATTAGATTATCGTATGTATGTCTCTATTTAATATATTTTGTGTTATAATCAGGTAATCAGGCTGGGTAACAGGAGACACACCCCGACCCCCGCTTAATATTTTTATAAAGAATTCAATACTTTAGATGAAAAAACTCCATGAAATTTCATTAATTCTAATAAAAGATGGCAACTAAGATTATCTAAAAAATATGATAAACAACGAAAACCTTAGTTTATCAAATATATTTGACTAATTTAATTTTTTAAAATAGATTAATTATAAAATTTAATAATTATATTATTGTTTTACTTGAATGAATGAGGTAATAAAATGAATTATCAAAAATTATAAAAAAAAATTAAACGGGTATGTAAACGTGGCAATCGCCCCGCCCTGCTTTAAACGGGTAACGACATAGGTATGTGGTTCGTCCCGAACCCGTCCCCTTGCGAACCCTATTTTTCACTAATTGTTTGCTTGGAATTGTGTTTGGATAAATTGTTTTCAAGTAAAATTACACATTCTATTTTTTGATAGGTAACCCAAGTAAAATTACTTATTCTAAAAATAACTTTTATTTTTCTGTTAAAACGAGCTTCCGTTTGAGTATAAATTTATAAATAATTTATTAATTTTGATTAAAATACACATTCATAACTAATACTTATTATTATTCACATATTTCGTACTACTCATCAATATTGTTCTTATTAATTTCATCCACGTGTGCTCTTACTCTTTCCTCCTTGCTACGAAATGGACTCGTGTGGACAAGAATGCATGAGGTCAACTTATATAATTATTCTTTCAAGTCAGCAAAAGGGCATTATTTTAATTCTGTGATAGAAATAAACTAACAAATAACAGTTTTCAAGATTAAATCCCACAGCATTAATAGAAAATTTTAAATAAAAGACAATAGAAGTATTTCAACAGTAGGCAATATGTGCATGATTTGGAAGTTCTATGTCCTGACTTAAAAAGGCAAAAATTCAGGGAAATACAGCTAAAAGTTAAAATTAATTGCAAGTGGGTGGGGGCACTTGGACCATATAATAGAAAATAGAAAAGAAATTTTAAAACATCTGTGTAACAAGCATTTATTTATTTAGAAAGAAAAGAGAAATATGCATCTGAAAAACATTAATGTAAGAAAACAATAGGTGTTGCCGTTGCTCGAAGTGTGGATTTATTATCCACTTAAAAGATTTCACCAACAAAAATCAAAATTTATAAAAAAAAAAAAAAAAAAAGTTTTGTTTTTTTTTGGAAAAAAAAAAAAAAAAAAAAAAAAAAAGGGAAAATTTGTCTGGTTTGTATGTTTACCGGGAAATTGCTGCCCATTGCACGTAACAACCCGTCCTCTGGCTCTCTATATAACTCACCGAGTCACCTCCGATTTATCTTCATGTTGATTGAGCTGTGTTAACTGGAGGTGGAATCCTCTTGCAACCTTCAACAGCTCTCATTTTCTTATACTCCTACAAGCAAATCGGAGATCTGCAACGCTGAGTTTCGGAGCTTCGAGATGCCCGGATTCTGTGATGACGCACCAGAACAGCATGAAGTTGAATCCAAGGCCACCGGCCGACGCGAATGGGAGGGCTCTTTACGGTCTAGTGTTCCGGAAACAGGCCCAAGGAGTGCGGCCACGAAGGTCCAGAAGTTTTACCGGAGCTATCGTACGCGTCGAAAGTTAGCCGACTCGGCTGTGGTTGCTGAAGAGCTCTGGTTGTTTCTCTTTTTCTTTTCCCCCTTGTTTTAATTGTGCAAAATAATAGTACATTCATCAGCGCTGATTAGTCTAGGTAGAAGTGGACTCTCTGATTTATCGAATAATGAATCAAGTGGCGGGCATTACCCGGTAGTATATACTAATAGATATGAATAAGAATAATGCTATCTATGATCACCTGTTTAGGTGGCAATTGAATTCACTCTCTTATTTATAAATGTTTTTTTCTCGTGGTGAAATCGAAGGTGGCAAGCGACAGAGTTTGTACAATTGAATCACAGTACTGTATCCTATGTCGACTTCTTGAAGCCAGAGACAGCAGCCTCGCGGTGGAGTCGTGTCAGTTTGAATGCTTCTAGGGTATAAAAGTCTTGTGACCTTTTTATATAATGGAAAAGTCATTAGCAATTTAGTGGCTTCAATAGAAGTTTTTTTCTTTAGAAATGGATTGCATTTGATGATTTATTTTCAACTAAATATATGAACAGGTGGGCAGGGGTTTGTCTATAGATGATAAGGCACAAACATTGGCCTTCAACCACTGGATTGAAGCTGTGAGTTACTATTTCCTTCATGCCCCCTGCTGTGAACTTCATTTGATTATAAGCTTATCTGCCATTATCTGGTAATAGTATTTTTAGAGTTAATATAGATTTTTATGTACATTATCTAGGTTGATCCAAGGCACCGTTATGGACACAGCTTACGTTTGTATTATGAAGAATGGCGTAAAAGTACTGCTGGTCAGCACTTCTTCCAGTGGTGAGACAAGTTTGAACTCATCTGATGTCTTAATATTTTTTTATTTATATTGGAAAGTATCATAGTTTATCTAAAGTGGTCAAGCATGCCAGCCATGTCTAGTGGATTTAGGGAAAATAAATGTCATACTCTTATGCCGTTAATGAAATATTGAGAGGACCAAATCGGTGGTGAAGATACGCGAGGGATGATCATAAACTTGTACCCAGAGTAATCTTTCATGCCTTTCTAGGCCCAAAATGTTGAGTAGGAAGCTACAATATTGGTTTAATTATTTATATTGGACTGGTGTGTAGTTGGTTAACTATAATCTGAAGAGGAAAAGATGTTAAAACTTCAATTTATCCACAGGCTGGATCTTGGAGATGGCAGAGAGGTCGATCTTAAAGAGTGCCCAAGATCAAAGCTTCGTCGACAACACATCAAGTATCTTGGACCAGTATGTGATCGAAACTGTATTTATTTAAGTTTTATGGATGCAGCACGTGAACAGTGATGCAACCATTCTAATAACATCTTGATTATATTGTCTTAATTGCTCTGTTCCAATCCATGAATTTTAATTAGTATTCTCTGTTTCGTTTCTTATTCTTCTTTGCTATGTTCAGCAAGAGAGGGAGAATTACGAATACATGGTGATTAATGGAAAAATATTGCACAAAAAATCTGGAAAACCCCTCGAAACGAACATAGGATCACCAGATTTGAAATGGATCTTTGTGGTGAGCACATCCAAGAAACTCTACACTGGAGAGGTAAGATCTAAAAGGAAATTATAAGTACAGGCATGACTTGAAACTTTGATTTATTGTCACATCTATATTTTTTATTGTCTTCAGAAAAAGAAAGGATTGTTCCATCATTCTAGTTTCCTCGCGGGAGGGGCTACTTTAGCTGCTGGGAGGCTCATGGCAGAAGATGGAGTGCTCAAGGTACGGTCTGGGCACTAATCATTATCCAAAGTCTTTGGTCCTGACATATTGAAGTCCAATTCAACTCTTTGAAAATACAATTTGCTAATTTAGAATAGGTTTCTCATTAATACATTATGATCTAATGCAACCACTTTACTTCAGTGGATCTCACCTTACAGTGGACATTACAAGCCCAATGATGATTCCCTGGAGAGCGTTTTATCAATTCTCAAGGAAAACGGAGTCAACCTGGATGAAGTTGAGGTACTTCATCTACATTTTCTGTTTTGAGTATTACTTACAAAGCCTGAACAAGGTGCTTGCTTTTTGTGAATATAAGTAGCTTCTAAGGTAACCGCGGATTTTCATCTTCTGAATGGTAGTCATTTGGAGTTATGATTTTAGCATTCCACCTAATAGTGCGCCCTGTGTCTTATTTAATCAGATCAGGAAGGCAAATGAAGATTCTGAGAATCCTGACAACGGAAAATTGGCTAAAGATCTGTCTATATTGGAACGTCCATCTGTATCAGATTCTGTTCAACCTTGTCTTCCAAATGAAGAAGAAAGAAACCCGTCTATAGAAACAATTGAAGCCTCTCGAACTGAAGTCAAAATTGAGTACAAGAGGGTTCTCTCCGGTGGTCTCCAGAGCCCTAGGGCGGATGTACCAAAGGAAGTAATACTGCAAAGAATTAACTCCAAGAAAGCCGCAAAGTCGTATCAATTAGGCCATCAACTCTCGCGCAAATGGTCAACAGGTGCTGGTCCAAGAATTGGTTGTGTTGCAGATTACCCTCCAGAATTGAGGTCACAAGCTTTGGAACTTACTAACCTCTCTCCCATAGGATCTCATTCATCGTCAATCCCTACAATCCAACAAGCTTGTCAGCTATCTCCTTCTGTTGAGACAGATACTTCCTCTAAGGTCAATTAAGGCTTACTCTCTAGCTCTAAGGACTTGAGTATGTAACTGAGTAGCAGTGTCCTAGGACAGTAGATGAAATTTTAAATTATTTCTTTCATAATCCCGTTTGCTGTCTAAGTCTAGTGTAGCAAATGTGCTAGGAAAGTATTACACTTTCATTTACGGAATACGGTGGAGTAATAGAATAATTCTTCCATATCTGCTCTTCTTAACTAAAATTTTAATGAATTTTAAAAGATCATAAATTTTAGCGAATTGTGTGAATTTGAATAGATTTTCACATAATCCATAAAAATCTCATTCAAAATGGTTAAATCTCGAAAGAGTTTGTTCTATTCAAATATTTTTAAGTTTGAAATCCATTCAAATATTTTGAAATCTCTTTATTAATGAAATCCTTATTATTGAGAATATTTAGATTTTAATAAAACCTACTAAAATCTCAATTTGGGGACACCTAAATTTAGGAGAATTTTTAAAATTTATTAAAATCTCACAATTCATGTCTGATCTCTATTTCTTAAACTTATTTTTAACTATTCATTTTGTAAGATTCACAACATATATATTTACGAAGAAGGAAAATAAATCCGTCAACACGTTGAATCAAACTTGAAAGTTCAATGTCTAGGTAATTATTGGTTGATTAATTATTTAAAACTAATCACAATCTAACTGTCCAATCTGACAAACTACCGAACTATTAATCAATCGACCGCAATAAAAAAATAGCGAAGTAACAGTAAATTCAAATACAGAACATGCAATATACCATGGTAACTAAACCAGTAAGGGGAACATCTATGGTCCCTTGTGCCATGAGTAAATATATATTCGTCTCAAGTTTTTCTCATTACAATTATTTCTTGTGCATGTCAAATAAACCCAGTTATAAAATATAAAATAAAATAAAAAACAACTAAAAATTGTTTTAGTTCTTTTCATCTGTTGAGGAATTGAACCATGCACAAATTGGAATAAAAATCACGTTCTTAGTTTTACCTACAACTTCTATACGTGAATTTCAGCAATCAAGAGTTACTAATTTCTTCAGAATTTTGTGCAAAGAATTTTCTTCCTCTTATATACAGACTCCAAAATCGTCCACTCTTACTAATAAAAACTTGCCTTGTTTTTTCGCCATATTTGATGGCCATTATTTTGAAAAAAAAATAAAAAATGATGTTTTTGAATAATAATATTTTGAAGAACGTATAATTAAAATGTAGGAAAATGTTATGAGTTTACATGTAAGATATTTTATGATGTAAATGAATAATTGAAAATGAGTATGAGAATTAAATAATTTTATTTTAAAGGGAGACATACGAGGGCTTCTTGTAGTCCAAGGCTCCAATATTTGTCCCAAAAATCCGTTGTTAATTTGGTGGTCGTTGATAGTTATTAATGGATCGTGTCAGAGGTAAAGAGTAAACCTTTTACTAACGAAAATTCGTTGGTAAAGAGTAAATCTTTTACCATCGAAATTTTTCATTAGTAAAAATCTTAACCATTATCAACTAAGTTTCCGTTGGTCAATATTTACCATTACAATTGATAAAAATCAATGTTGTAAATAGTCGTATATGTGTGAGACGTGGTAAAAAAATTATTTATTTATTTTTTATTATAGTTATTATTATTTATTTAATAATTATAATTTTTTAACTTTTAGCTAACTGCGTTGAAGGCCCAAAAAATTGTTTAACCACTTATTGGACCACAAATTTATAGATAGCAACTCAAAAGACTTTGTTCTAAACTTTTGATGTGGAATAAGAATTCCTTTGAAAAATTAATTAATATTAGCAACAACAATTCCGTTGACAATATAAACTATTCTTTACTCACCGAAAATCCATAGGTGAAAGGTTGATACAGTTTTTAGAAAAAAAAAGTTGTGTTACATCATCAATGAAAATACTGCTTGTAAATGGTACGTATATTAAACAATAATATTAGACATGGAATATCCGTTGGTAAAGAGCTACCTCTTTTATCAACGAAAATTTCTTTTGGGATTTTCGTAATTAAAAATTTAATACTTTTACCAATGGATGATATGTTTCTAATTACCAACGAATACATTATCCGTAGATGAAAAGCCGATTTTTAGTAATGCACTCTTCTATGTAAGGTTGAATTTTGCATGTTGCATCATCGTTAACAATTCAATATATTAACACACCATATCATTAAAACTTGTCGTTCTATCTTAAAAGGTGAATATTGTTAAGAAGAGTAGTCCATACTTTTATAAGTTGACCTATGTTTTTATCTTTATTCGATGTTAGATTTTATTGCTTAACATGTTCTACAAGATGGTGGATCTTTTGAGCAAAGTAATCTTGAAATTTGCATGTTTATTTTTTTAATCTTAAAATGTCAATCTTATTAAGAGTAATAGCACAATCCTTTAGGGCCTGCTCCGGAGTTTAGACGTATTGGTTATGAGCCTTTTTTTAAGTAACAATTTTGAGCATTTATAAGTGGATCGATTTTGAGTGGTTATAGTAGCGATTTTTAAAATAGTTCAACATATACTTGAGAGTTTATTATCTATAGATTTTGAAATTTTTTTAAAAGAAAAAAATTACATATTTGTCTCTTAGTAAAATTTTCAATTTATAGTCTCTTATGTCGTAAATGATATTTTACTTAAGTAATTTTTTTTAAAATATAAGTTATTTTTTAACTTAATAAAGTTAAATATATACTTTACATTTTAAGTTAATTTTTTTTACTTATAAGTAACTTTTATAATTATAAGTAAAGTTTATACTTTAAATAATGTTAGGTGATTTTTTTATTTATAAATAACTTTTTATATTTTATAAATGAGCCTTTGTCTTATTAATATTGTTTTTATTTTTTACATAAAGGATATGTTTTTTATATAAGTAATTTTAATTTTTCTTATCATATAAGTAATATTTTATTTATTGTATTTCTTTTAATTATAATTTAATTTTTTTTTTGCTCATAAATAACTTTCTAGTTAATATATTTTTATTTACAAATTAGTTTTGAATAAAATATGTTAATTGGAAATAATTATTTTATAGAGGGTAAAATTAGAAAAAGAATTTGAGAAATTGTCAAAATATGTTGATTTGGCAAGTTGAGAGAATCGGCCAAAAGTACACTATACCAATTTGGGTGTTTTCTTTAAACCATCCAAAATTAGTGCTAAAAAAAGCTAGCAAGCATCGATTTTTTCAACTCTGCTTAAATGTTGCCACCCAAAATCAATGAAAAAAATCCTGACTTGGTCCTTATAAATTGGTATGTATTTTCATCTTTACATGATGTAGGATTTCTCCATTAACATGTTTCAGCAAGATAGTGGCTCGTTTAAACAAATTAATCTTGAAATTCTTGTGCGCATTCTTTTGAATCTTAATCGAATCGAATTGCTTATTAGAGTTTAATGGACTTTGACATCATATTATGAGTTGGGGTTCTAAGAGAAGTAACCCAAACCTTTATTAATTTGTCTATGTTTTCATTTTCAATCGACGCGGAATTTTACCACTCAACACATTGCTTCATCGGTTGGCAAATCATTATTTTCGTACTGGGTTAGGGAGGCCTTGTGATTCTAATTGCCATGTGATTCTAATTGATGCTGCCTGGGATTGAACTTTGTTATCAGTGTTTTAGTTGATATGACATTCTAAAGGATAAAATTATTCAGAAGAGACCCCATGACTGGAAAACAGACGGCATACTGTTATGCATATGCATTACATGGATAAAGATGCCAGCAAATTAATGTCTCCAGGGTGAGGGCTATCTTGTTGCCATTTATATGTGATCATCCAACCGAAAATGTTCAAGAATGCAAGCATCTAATGATGCAAGTTAGCCTATTTCAAAATTTGGCTGGCAATAATTTCTTTTCGTGTTGGCCATGTTTTGTAAAATCCTGCTTATAAGTGCTATGCTCCAATTAGGGCTGCCTGGATTTGAATACCGTAGGTATAGAGAGATATTTATATGTGTTTCTTTATCTTATAGTTCTTTTTGTTTATTTGTTATCTATTTCTATCGGTATGATTTATAACAAGTCTTATTGCACTTTCTAGGGGTGACATGGTGACTAGTATAGTGCTTGGGCATGGCCAGTTTTGCGTAGAGGCGAGTGAGGCTAGCACCTCAAGCCCATCAACGGAGAGGCCTCGGATTTTAGCCTTTTTTTTTACAAATATATTTGGTAAATTAGGTTTTTTGGAATTTTTTTATTAAAAAATTGATAAATTAGATCCATTCCATTCTATTTATAATTAAGGCCCGATAATGTTTTTTCATTGTGGGAATTTTATTTCTAAATTAGGTCTATTTCAAATGTAACGGAAGGGGACAAGTGGAGTAGGATTTCTCAAACTCATGTTGCGGTGATTTATCAATTCTATTCAACTTATTCATCACATAGGTAGTATTCAATTTATTTGTTTAAAATAAGAGACGTGTACTTGACTTGGCAAAAATTGATGAACATTCTTAAACAAAAAGTAAAGTCAAGTCTTTAGCGACATATGAAATTCCAACTTTTGAGTTCTTGTTTAGCATGGTAATCTACTTCAAATAAAAAAAACATGGATATTGATGGTGCAATCGACTTCTTTCAAGGAATTTTTTTATTTCTTGAAAATTATAGAGAAATTGAATTTGCTATTATCATGTATAAATTGACAAAAATGACAAGTTAAATGGATATTGAAGATGTATTCCGATAAAAGTGTATAATTTGAATAAAAAAGCAATTTGACAAAAGTAGTAGTGATGAGGTAAATCAATTGGTTGAAGAATCTTTTAGAGTTGAGTATTTTTTTATATATATAATTAATTAAACTCCATCTTCTCTAAAATTTGATTTGAACAATTTATACAATATGAAGAAATATTTCAATTTTTATTAAATTTGGAAAGGTTAAAGCGTGCAATTTATTTATTTATTTATTTTTAATTTATTGAAGCTTTGTATGAATCCTGAGAAGTATCTAAATACAATTGACGTTCGAATATTAATGTAAATGATTTATGATTCCGAGATAGAAGTCTTAAGGTGCCATTTACTAAGTAAAGCAGCAAGAGCAATTAAAGTGTTACAATATTTGAAGACATCTCAAATATTTATATTACTTACAAAATTTTGTTAATAATATTTTATCTTATCTCCGATCAACTAGATAACAAG